GAATATTGACAATTAAATTGCAATTCACAGTACTCAACTCTTGCTTAACAGAGAATGTCATTGATATCAAAAAATTGAGAATGCACAAAATAATTCAATCATTTTGCATACTTTATAAAACCAGAGTTAGGACAAAAATTTCCATAGTTTCGCACACTAAGAAAGTGCACAGCAAAAAGAACCAATAGCACAAAGATGATGATTGCCTATGAACACAATGAATAGTGAACTTGTTACTGCACAATATATCTAAAAATAAAATCTGCAGTGAAAGGGTTATAAGCAACATGGTAATGCAAGTTGAACCATGGATAATATAGCAAGTAAGCAAATGCAATAAAATTAAAAATGGGGAGAAAAGAGAACAAAACTTGCAACAAAGTAGTACATCATTCAGGAAAAATTTAAAAGTAAAATGGTGTAACAATGTCGTGAATGAGGTAAAAGAGACACGGCAGAAACACAAATAACACACAATAAAAAATCAGAAAAATAAAGTATTTAAGGGAAGTTAAATAAAGAAAAAGAATTTGAAGATGCGTAAACAAAATTACCCTACAGACATGAACTATGCAAACGATGATTGTTCACTAACAGCGGAAACATTAACCAAAATTGCACTGAAAAATTTTAGAAGACTGCACACAGAAAAATAATTTTTGTGCATTGAAGAAAGATTGTTTAAATCAAAATATTTGCATAATAATACTGAGTAAAACAAAGCAATAGCAGGTTAGGAATTTCAATGAATAACATATTTTTTTTTCTTCATTGTAGATACCCAAAAATCACTTATTGGTGCAGATCTTGAAAAAAGGAAGAGACTTTTTTGTGCCCCAATCACATACAGTATATAGCAAGTGTGAAAGAAAGTAATTTTCATCATTCATTAACAAAAATTCACAAAACAGGGCAGCAACAAAGGAATTGGAGCAACTATATTCATGAATAGAGCTAACTATTGGAAGAGAAAATGGTGCAGTGCAAAAATCATGGATGAGGATGGAATAATGGAAGAAGAATCACCAAGAAAAAAATAGAGATGCGAACTGTAAAAGAACATACCTTGTGAAGCTTGAAAATTTTGAAAATGGTTACCGGAAGAGAAAATGGGTGTCGAGATTTCAACAAGGAGAGTGAGAGGTTTCAGAAAAATGTGAAAAGATAGAAGGTTATGGGGAGTTGCACTTACATTAAAGAGGAAACCTTGAAGAGACGTGGGTAAGAAGTTAAGCTAATTTCTGAGCATGAGTATCGCCAATAACTCCTCTTTTTAAATTATAACCCAAAATTTAAGATAAAATAATATATAAAATATTTTATTTAATATATCTATATATTTTTATTATTCTTTTAAATTTTTAAATTTATTTTATTTTATTTTTATTTTTTATTTTTTATTTTTTTATAATAACTTTGTTTATGCACTAAATGACAAAATAGAACCTGAGTGACGCTTCTTTGGTACCTCCCCTGAGTTTTTTTTTTTTAACTTAGAGAAATTCTTTAGTCCATAGGCTATAAAGAGAGCCCAGTCCCAGTGTCGCGTCCCCACAAATGGCTTGTTGTGTGGCCACATGATACGAAATAAACAACTGCCTTAAATTAAATATCTTGTGATCTTCTCCCTTCATTCCAATAGCACTCTGCTGCTTATCAACCCTGAAAGTGAATATTAATGAACTCTAGATTATAAACAAAACCTTCTAAAAATTTAACAATTAAAATTAAATAAGTAAAATTAAAATTTTCAAGAAAATAATCCTATTCTAAATTATTCTATTGCTACTTGTATCCCAATTTATGGAGGATTTGATAAATGAACAATTTTCCTCTCTCTTTCGATTTCTCCTCTAAGATAAATTTTAAGTCGCTGTCCATTAACTTTGAACTCTCTGTCAGATGAAGGATCCTGAATTGTAATTGCTCCAAAGGGAGAGACCTTCTTGATTACAAATGGGCCAGATCATTTTGACTTTAATTTGCCTGAAAACAACCTTAGTCTAGAATTGAATAGTAAAACCTGTTGTTTAGGTTGAAAAACTTTATGTTTGATTGCCTTGTCATGATATGTCTTGACTCTCTGCTTGTAGATTGTAGCATTTTCCTAAGCTAAATTCCTCCATTCTTCTAACTCAGTGAACTGCAATTTCCTTTATTCTTGTGACACATTCTCATTTAGATTCAAATACTTGATTGCTCAATGTGCCTTGTGCTCTGATTCCAATGGAAGGTGACAAGCTTTTTCATATACCAGCTGCTATAGAGACATGCCAGTGGAACTCTTATAAGTTGTACGATAGGCCCACAAAGCATCATCTAGCTTTGTTGACCAATCTCTTCTGGTGTTGCCCACTGTCTTCTCCAATATTCTTTTGATTTCTCTATTCGTCACCTCAACCTGCCCCCTCGTTTGTGGGTGATAAGCTGTTGCCACCTTATGCTTGACATTATACTTGATGAGAAGAGATTGAAGCTGCTAGTTGCAAAAATGAGTGCCACCATCACTGATTAAAATCCTTGGCACCCCAAACCTCACAAAAATATTCCTCTTTAAGAATTTAATCACAGTCTGGGCATTGTTTAGGGTTGTTGCAACTGCTTCAACCCACTTTGACACGTAATTAATTGCTACCAAAATATATTTATTCTGAAATAACGATGGGAATGGTCCCATGAAGTCCATGCCCCAGCAGTCAAAAACTTCCACTTCTAAAATGTTGTTTAGAGGCAATTCATTCTTCTTAGTAATATTTTCCATCCTCTGGCATTTATCACAGGTTTTTGTATAGGTAAAAGAATTCTTGAAAATTGTTGGCCAGAAAAATCCACTCTGCAACACCTTTACAGCTGTCCTATCTCCATTAAAATGTCCTCCATATGGGGAATCATGGCAATGCCATAGAATGCTTTGAATTTCAGCTTGTGGCACGCACCTCTTAAGTATACCATATTTTCCAATCTTGAACAGGAAAGGGTCATCCCATATGTACTGATTTGAGTCCTTGAAAAATTTCTTTTTCTGTTGCCATGTCAGATTTTCTGGGATGATATTTGAGGCTTTAAAATTGGCCATATCAGCAAACCATGGCCTTTCTGTGATAACCAATAGCTATTCATCAGGAAAATTTTCTTGAATTTCTTCCGTTGCATAGGAAGATGAAGTCCCTTCCAGCCTTGATAGATGGTCTGCAATCACATTATCTTTGCCTTTTTTATCACAAATTTCCAGATCAAACTCCTGCAGCAGTAAAATCCAACAAATTAGTCTTGGTTTAGACTCTTTCTTTGAAAACAAAAATTTTAGAGCAGCATAAGCTATGTGAATAATCACTTTGGCCCAATGAGATATGATCTAAATTTTTTCAAAGCAAAAACCACTACAAGTAATTCTTTTTCTATTGTGGCATAATGTGTTTATGCCTCATTTAAAATCCTACTTGCATAATAAATTGTGTGAAAAACTCTGCCTATTTTCTGTCCTAAAATTGCTCCTACAGCAAAGTTACTAGCATCACACATAACTTCAAATGGAAGATTCCAATTAGGTGCAGTGATCAGTTTCCTTTTTATCACATTAAAAGCATGCAGGCAGTTTTTATAAAAAAAATAAAGGGAGTGTCTTTGTTCAAAAGTGAGCAGAGGGGCTTAACAATTTTTGAAAAATCCTGAATAAATCTGCGATAAAAACTAGCATGGCTCAAGAAACTCCTTATCCCTCTAACATTGGTTGGAGGTGGTAGATTTTTAATGACTTCAACTTTTGCTCTATCCACTTCAATTCCTCTTGCAGAAATCTTATGTCTCAGCACTATGCCCTCCTGAACCATGAAGTGACATTTTTTCTAGTTGAGAACTACGCTGGTCTCTATGCATCTTCGCAAAATACAAGACAAATTAGTCAAACACAAATTAAAAAAGTGTCCAAAAATAGAAAAATCGTCCATGAAAACTTCTATGGACTTTTCAATCATATCAGCAAAAATGGCAAGCATGCACCGCTGAAATGTAGCGGGAGCATTGCACAACCCAAATGACATTCTTCGGTATGCAAAAACACTAAAGGGACAAGTGAATGAGGTCTTCTCTTGATCTTTCGAGCTGAACGCAATCTGGTTGTACCCGAAATAGCCATCTAGAAAGCAATAAAAGTCTTGGCCAGCCAGCCTTTCAAGCATCTAGTCTATGTATGGCAATGGAAAATGGTCCTTACGAGTAGCTTGATTCAGCCTCCAGTAGTCAATACACATCCTCCACCCTGTCATAGTCCGGGTGGGGATGAGTTCATTATTATCATTCTTGACCACTGTACTACCTCCCTTTTTAGGCACTACTTGCATTAAGCTTACCCACTCGTTGTCCGAAATGGGATAAATCATCCTGGCTGCTAGAAGTTTCAGTACTTTCTTTTTCACAACTTCTTTCATTGCTGGATTCAGTCTCCTTTTTGGCTGCACAACTAGTGTAAATTTCTCCTCCATTTTAATCTTGTGCATGCAGAAAATGGGACTGATTCCTTTCAAATCTACAATAGACCATCCGATGGCTGCCTTATGCTCCCTCAAAACTCTCATTAATTTTTCTTCATTCAACTGAGAGAGTGTGCTGCTGATTATCACTAGACAAGTTTTCTTTTCCCCCAAAACTACATATTTAAGGTGAGAGGGTAGGGGCTTCAATTCTAGCTGTTGTGGTTCTATTTTATTGCTTTCTTTCAATTTTTCAGCATTTGAATTTTTCTGTAGGACAGGTTGAGCGTCCAGCTGCTGTACAATTTCTTGTAACTCTTTATCAACTTCTTCATCATTATTCATGACAGCATTGGCCAAAGCCTTCTTCAGTGGGTCTGTACAAATTTCAGCACCAAAGCTTTTAGTTGAAATCAAGGCATCTACCATCTCCATCCTAAAACAAGTGTCCTTCTCATCATTCGGATGCTGCATAGCCTCAAAAACTTTAAAAGTCGCATTCTCATCATGCACCCTCAACATCAATTGGCCTTACTGCACATCAATCAAAGCCCTTCCAGTGGCTAGAAATGGTCTTCCCAAGATCGCAAGCACCTCAGAATCCTCATCTATATCTAAGATAACAATGTTTGCTGAAAAAATCAGTTTCTCCACCTTCACCAACACATCCTCCATTACACCATATGGGTATTTGATAGACCGGTCAGCTAGTTGGAGAGCCATTTTTGTACTTTTAACTTCCCCCACTCCCAATTTCTTCAAAATAGAGAGTGATATCAAATTGATGCTGTCCCCCAAGTCCCATAAAGCCTTTCTAGTGGTCACATTCCCTATAGTGCAGGGGATTGTGAAGCTTCCTAGATCTTTCAACTTAGGAGGTAATTTTTGCTGCAATATTGCATTGCATTCCTCGGTTAAAGCTATTGTAGCATCCTCCTTCAATTTCATCTTCTTTGAAAGCAAGTCCTTCATGAACTTGGCATACAAAGGCATTTGTTCCAGCGCTTCTGCAAATAGTATATTTATGTGCAACTTTCTGAAAATGTACAGGAATTTAGAAAATTGCTCTTCCTTCCATTTGTTCTTGGGAATGTGTGGATATGGCAGCTTTACATAGGGGGAGGGATTTGAGGCTTGCATGAATCTTCCAAAATTTGTTTCTTAGATCTATTCCAATATGCCTCATCTACCACCAACTTTTGTTTTGGTGGAATTTTCTCCTCCTCTTCCTCTTTTGCAATCTCCAATTCTGGTTTTGGTTGCTGTTCTGCTACCTCTTCTTCTTGTCCAACAATTAAATCATCGTCTTTTTCAAGTGGTTTTTTCTTAGGTTGTGGCTCTATCACCTTTCCACTCCTAGTAATAATTGCTTGGCATAATTCTTTTGGATTTTCCACTGTATTCCCAGAAAAGAGCCTTGAGCTGGTTCATTTATTTTCTTTATAATTTGTCCTATTTGGTTCTCCAAATTCTTCATGGAGGCTTCTTGATTTGCCATCCTTGTGCTTTCATCTTGCATAAACAAATTCGTGATTTGAGTTAATTGCACAAGTGCTTTTTCAAGAGATGATACCTGATCATTTCCTGGTTGGTTTGGTGGTTGCATTGGTCCTGAATTCTAAAAATTTTGCTGCTGCCACTATCCTCCTTATTGGTTCAGTCTTTATGCAGGTGGAGTATAGTATGATTGGTTCAATGGCCTGGTATTTAAGTTAGAATTTGGCCTGAACTACTGCTGCTGATGTGAATAAACAGGTTTTTGCTATAAATTTTGTTGTTGCCTGATGAATCTATATTTTTACTGATATTCTAGCATAATTCTAACACATTTGATAAGAAAAATATACGAAGAAAGCAGAAAAAGTCAGAAAAAGAGAAAGAATTGAAGTTTTGTTTAAATTTGTAGCTATCTTAGCAATTGTGAAATTTTTTCTTAGGAATTAAGTTTTTAATCTTGTTTTTGAAGGAATAATTTGAGCAAAGATCATGAAAATGGAGACTTAATGACAAGGAAGAAGAAAGAAGCAAGTCTGGACTTCAAAAACACAAGAACAAGAAAGTGCAGACTGGCGTGATCACTATTGTCAGTGAAAGTGATCACTCCAGAGCTCAAAGAAGAAGCAAAGCCTAGGCGTAAGCACTATTATCATCAAAAGTGAACGTTCCAGAGAGCTTTCAACTTGGTGAGTTACGCGTAATCACTTTTTCCTCATAAGAGTGATCACGCGCAACCACTTGAGCTCTGCGTTGTCATTCCGCAAATCTGAGAAATTTTATAAATACCAGAAACGTTCTAGAATTTGGGGATTCTGTTCATTTTCAATTTTGTTAGTTAGATTCTCGTTAGAGGAAGTGAGAGAGAGGAGTGGGGATTCGAATCTTGGAGCTTCACGAAAAGGCATTGGAGTGGAGCAGCTTCCATGGCGATTTTGAGTTTCTTCTTCTCTTCTTCTCTTTCTTTTTCTTTTTCTGCTGTCATGACTGTGTAATTCCTTCATAGTTAGGGATTGTAGATCTGAAACGAACATGTTGAATTGATTTGGATCTGGATTTCAAGCTTTGGAATAGATTGAGCGATTGATTCTGCACTTTATGTAGTAATTGAATGAAAATTTGATTAACTAATTTCAGAGGAACTCTTGTCAATAGAAATTAAATTTATTCTTCAAAACTGAACCAATCACCGAGATTATAATTTTCTTAGGGATAAGAGGCTTTGATCTTGCAATCTTCTGGTTTCTTACACTTAAAGCAATATTGAATTGAATCAGATCTAGGAAATTGGAATGGTTTAATTGAATGTTAGGTTCACTGAGTTAAGGAATTAACCTCTGAACAATATAACGTGAAACTGATTGTCATTCCTTCCAATTGCTTGCTAATTCAGAACTTTATTGATTAAACATTGGAGTTTTAGTGAAGCAATTCCCTAGCTATGGTCTCTCCCTCTGTTATCACATAATTGTTTGTTCATTGTTCTATTTCTGCAAGTTTCTTTTACTCCTAATTGTTCTAGTTTGCTGTTATTACATGTTACTACTCTCCTTCCAATTTCGAAAAGCTCAAATGGCTATAATTCTATGAAGTGGTACTTGAAATCTAAATTTCCTGTGGAGACGATATTTGGATCTTAATTTTACTCATTACTTGCTGCAATCCTAGTGCACTTGCTAGTGTTAGATTGCGAACAACACTGCCATTGCGGTTTTGAATTAAAATTCTGCTGCCTTGGCAGGTTATTCATGAAGTTCACCTGTTCAGGCCCTTGTTGATGCATTTAATCAACTCTCTCTTCACTTGTTCCCTTATGATATTCCTCTTGGCTGGTGAGAGCTACATAGTGTACTAGTTTATTCCTTTCAAACTTCATGTTTTCCAACTTGGCATTAAGGGAATGAAGTTGTTGTGACATTAATTTGTTCTGAGCCAGTAGTGCATCTAAGGTATTCAGCTCCAACACACCTCTTTTTGAAGAGTTCCTTTTCCTATGATTGTAATTGTTGGATGCCATAACTTCAATGAGTTGGCGTGCTTCTTCCAAGGTCTTTTGAGCAAATGAGCCTCCAGCTGCTGCATCCACCATTGTTTTTGTTGCTACATTCAGCCCATCATCAAAAGTTCTCAATTGAAGTCATTCGGGTAGCTTATGATAAGGGCAGTTTCTCAACAGTTCCTTGAATATGTCCCATGCTTCTTGAAGTGTTTCATCTTCCTTTTGAGAAAATGCCAGAATTTCTTGCCTCAACTTGGTTGTTCTAGAGGCTGAAAAATACTTCATCAGAAATTTGCTCTCTAAATCATCCTAAGTAGTGTTCCTTCTGGTTGGGATAACAACCATCTCTTTGCCTTATCCCTTAAAGAGAATAGAAACAATGATAATTGGGTAGGCTTATCACTCACACCATTTATTCTAATCATTCCACAAATGGTCAAAAAATTCTGAATATGCAAGTGGGGATCTTTGGAGGGATGTCCAACAAATTGCTCTTGGTGGACCACTCTCATAAGGTCAAGTCTGATCTCAAAGTTGTTTGCTTGAATAGGAGGTCGAACAATGGAGGTGAGGTTTCCTCTCGGGTTTTGCACGTGCATAATCATCCAAAGTCCTTCGTTCTTCATTGGGATTTCCTGTCATTTCTATATAATTCTGTTCTTGTGGGTCTTCTTCTTTTTCTTTTTCTGAAGTTTGTCCTTTCTTCTTGTTCTTTTTCTTGAAATTAATAATTGTCTGATCAAGTTTCGGAGATGAATCACTCTTTTTGATCTTCTCCTTGTCTCGCATCAACCAATTCAATTGTTGCACTTAGGTTCCTGTCACAAACCTTAAACACAGCAAACATTATTAACTGAATATAACATATTCTCATTACCGTTGATATTAACAATCATTATCCCCGGCAACAATGCCAGAAACTTGATAAAATTTTTTGGCAAGTGCACCAAATCGTTGAAGTTACAAAGATTATCGTCTACATGGATAAGTGTTAAGTATCAAATCATAAGAATATTACTAGTTGGGTCACCAAAAATAGGGTATATATAGTAGTACGAAATTCAACACAACAGAATTGTAAAATTGAAAGTAAAGGTGTTAGAATTATAATTAATAAATGGACAAAAGTAAAACTTAATACAGAAAATAATTAACAGGACTGCAGAATGTAAATAACTCAAATAGAGAAAATAATTTTTTGCAAAGATTAATAAATGGGTTGAGTTTAGAATCTCTTATCCCTTTCCCTTTGCTTAAAATATACTTGTAACTCAAAATATAGCCAATCTAATGGTCAGGTTGTCTAAACTATCCAACTCTAATATCTTGGTAATTGGTTCTAAAATGACTTTTAATCTCTTAATCCCTTAGGTAAACAAAAAACGTTTAGCATTAAGGATAAAACTCATATGACCACATTATCATAAATTTCTATTCCTAGACAATTCATAATAAGCATTTTAACCCTACTCCAAGCAAGTCCACAACTTTCCAGCAATGAACTCTTTTTCATCAACCCCATTCACGTAGAACAGCGAGACATTAAGTTCAGAATTAAAATGTTAGATTAAAGCTTCCATCTTGAGTCACATACAATGCTTAGTTCATTACAATGGGTAAAGGTATAAGTTCATCTTTACTCAACCCCAAGAGATTTAACAAGACATAATGGAAATGAAAAGAAACAAACTAAAATATATTGAAAAGATAAGAGTCATGTTCAGCAAATAAACTTACAACAAATGAAAAATGAAAGAGTTACTGTTCTATTACAAAAATCAGAGAAGATATAAATGAAATCCAAGTTCCCATGAGAATCCTTCTACTAAGATGTAATGACATTGCCCTAGTTACCCTATTCTACGAAAAACTATATGAAAACCTAGAAAATCGTGCTCCAGAATGATCTAAAAAAGGAAAGATAAAAGATGCTGCCTTTTCAGAATTTTTTTACTTTTATATGCATAAGTCAGCATCGTATCCCCACAATCAGGAATCTGTGTCCTCACAAATCAGTCCTGTAGCACTCATCTTTTGTTCTTTAAGTCCAATTGCAGAATTTCTTTCTAATCTCTTCAAAATAAAATTGTCAGCCATTAAAATATGAGTGATTCATGAATTTTCCAACAAATACAACATTTCATTGAATTTCTCAATTAATTGCATTAACTTATAATTTAAATTCAATGAAATATGTCTAAAAACTTTTAATTTTCTAGATGAATTGGTGACTCATCAGGACGAGTTGTTACTAAACACTTGTGTAGAGAAGAAAAGATTAATGAAACTGGTTACTGGATACTGAGAAGAGGAGTGAAATCGAGTTTGGATTCAAATTATGGTTTCAGTCTTGATTATAGTTGAGGTTGGGTTATAGGTGATGAGGTGTAAAAGAAGGAGTTATTATTATTATTATTATTAGAGTTAAAGCACAACAAACTTTTGTCGCCAGCAATGTTGTTCAAGGTCATCTAAAGATTTGGTGGAGGGTTTGGTGGTCAAATGGAGGTGGTGGTTGGAGGGAGTGGGGTGGCAGAGGTTGGCAGCAGGCTTGTGTCAAAAGGCAATTCGCTTAGAGAGAATGTGGAGCATCAAGAATATTTAGAATGACATGAAATTGTGAGGTTAGAAGAAGAAGGCTTGAATTTGGGTCAAGGTTGTGTTCAAGAGTTTGTTTCTTGGAACGAAGACGGTGGTGGTGTAATTTTTGATAGTGTTCCAGTTTCTGAAGCAAAAGCTCAATGAGTTCAGTATAATAGGAATTAAGAAACGTGATGAGAATTAAGTTGAAGTTGATGAGGAAGAGGTGTTGTGGAAGAAGGTAAAATGTGAGTAGATTGGTAGAAGAAAGAAGAGAAAGAGGGTAAGGAAGAGAAGAGGAAGTTAGAAACAGCTTAAATGGAAAAGGAATCCATTGTGCTTACGGTATAGGTGATGAAGAGAAAAGGGCTAATGGATAACTTGCATAATCGGTTATCGATTTTTCACCATCTATTTTTAATCATTCAATAAAAAAAATTCAATCAACCGGTTATATTTCATTTTTCACTTTACTTATTAAAAAGCTTCATTTTACTTATTGAAAAAATAGAAGAACGTTAAAATCACCCTATAATTTACCAACTTATTCATCCAATTCTAGATTTTCACATAAATTCTTATCTTATCGCATTGTAACATGGTTTTATAACAACTTCTGATAAGTGTTAAACGTGAGACTTTGTTTAATGTAAATAATGAGAATAATCAATAATTTTATATTATTATAAAATCATTTATTAAATAAATTTAGTAGTTTTTAATTAATTATTATAATTTAAATTAAGTTAAATTTATAAAATAATTGATATTAAATGTTTTTAATTTTATTTTATTTTAGGCAATTTTTAACCATGAATTTTTTAAAAATTGAAATAAAAATTCTAAAAAGGTCATAATAATGTGACCTGCAGGGTGTGATAACACTCAAACTAATATTATTAGCATCAAAATTTCTTTAAAAGTTATAAATAACACTAAAATTTCATACAAAGACGTTTGATAACTTCATCTCTTGAAATCTTTTATCTTCTTATAAATCTTGGTTTGAAAATTTACATCTTTAAAAAATCAAGTGTCTAGTTGATCGATTTTTATGGAGTCATTCTTCATTTTTTTTCTTTTTTTATATTTTTTCTTTGTGTTGTTATGTGTAACTAATTTTTTTTAGTTAGAAAAAGAGGGATTTAAACCCTAACCTATATGTAATGTAAATATTTACTTTTAATTTAAATTTATTTATTTTAAATTGGTTGCTTATCTCTGCCAATGCCTCCATAAATTGGTCATTTACAGTGAATTATAGATTTTTTCACAATTGAAAGATTGAGATATAAATTAGAACTAAAATAAAGCAACAAAATTGAAAGCACTCTAGGAATAGTGGTCAACAGTTACGAGGTCTTACGAATTTTATAGATTAATATTTGTTCCAATTAAAAATTTATAAGGAATTAAAATTTTTAATTTAAGAAAAATGTTATTGAGTTAAGGAACTGATCTTTAATTATATTAACAAATTTAACATTCAATTACACTTTTAAGACTTGAATTAGAGTGAAGATTTAGGTTACTTAGATGAAAGTTTAAATGAACTTATTTTCTAACACTTTTGATATATTGACTTTTTATTGTAAGTGTTGTATTTAATAATTGTAAACATAAAAGAAATCTCATTATCTCAATTTGAATTTTACACTAAAATTTATTGTAAGTTTCATACTTGTTTTAGGAAAATTGATCATTTCATTCAAATTGTTAGCTAAATAATAGAGAAATTGAAAAATTAATAATTGAGTTAAAGTTCTCGGGAAAACAATATTTGACTTATTTGTATTATAAAAATGATTGATACACTTGTTATAATTTACAATTAAAAGCTTCCAGTCCCATTTTCTCTCTACCTACAATCCAATAACCACACGTGCCAAACATCAACTACCATTGTTATTGTACCTACACTATCCACACAAAGTCGAACATTTTCCATCATTCTCATGTTACAAAACAAAAAAATTACTCATTCATTAACTGTTGGAAAATCTGAAAAACACGATTTTGGCGTTTGCATAAAGCTTTTCGCTCAAAACTTTCTCAAACAAAATCTTTTATTTTTTTCAAGAACTGCTTGATGCCATGTTCTTGGCTATTTTTTCTTCTTTCACGACATGCTTAGGTGTGATTTTCTGATAATAGCAATTTGTGTAACGACTATTTTCTATGGTTCCATCTTCGTATACTTGAAGGCAAGGAGGAACCTCTAGAAATTTTAGGGTTGCTTCTATTATCCATTTGGAACTTGAAAAATACACACAATTCAAATTAAAAATTTATCTTTTATAACTTAAATTAATCGGTATCGATTCTCACTATTCATCATTAATTTTTTTATTAAGAAATATTTCAATAGAAAGTCACAAAACTTAGAGAAGTCATTCTCCACTTTACTTATTTAAAAGATCAAAAAAGATGTTAAAATTTATTATATCAATAAGAAATGAGAGTCTCTAACTCACTTTCGTTCGCCGACTGAATCTTTAACGGGATCGAATGTATTTTTTTTAAATTTTTTTATCAAATATGATTGAACCTTTAAATGCATATTACATTATAAAATAAAATAAAGTTTAATTTATGTTTTAAAATGAGAATTATAAAATAAATTTTATTACAAATTTTTTCCCTGCATAAATTATTTGATTTTAAAGTCCTTATAACTAAAATCAAATTTGTGAAATCAATTTAATCTAAAACTACGTGTGCAAATACTTTAACCAAACACACTTAATATATAAAATGAGAAAAGTCTAAAATTAATTTATTTTCATTCACTGTTTAAGAAATAAATACATTAGTTATTTTGAAAACAGAGAACAAATTTTGGAGTCAAATTATTCGTAGAGTAGGGCTACTAATTAATCTCATGAGGCTACGCGTGGCATATGGGGGGAGGCTATGGGTCATTGTTCAGACTCTTAGTTTATTGTCCAAATAATGTTGTTGCTGATTAGATTATGCAACAATTTTGACCGAAATTCTCATTCAACTGTTCAGAAAACAAAGTATATTTTAAAAAATAAATCCGTCAACATAATTTTCCACCCAAATTGCGAGATCATTGATTTATTTATTTTATAATTATTGTTCATTTGCAAATATTTGATTTTGATGGCCAATCAGAGAATAAATGTTTATTGGCTATTGACCTTTGCTAAAACAGAAACGTGTAAGATAGTGCTTTGACCATTGCTACAACAATTATAATTTATGATACTCTCTTAATTTTTCTATAAGAAAGCTACTAATTCAACTAATTAACTTAAATACTTTTTAATATTGACTTCTTTATTATTCTTTAATAAGTCCCATACTAATGTTTTAAAATTTAATAAATTTAAATTTTGACTAAACTCTCATTTTAGTCGTTGAGAAAATTTAAGTCCAGCATTTTAGTTCCTGAGACATTTAAAATATCACATTAGTCCATAATATTTTTTTTTTATCATTTATTTTAGTTTCTAACGTTAAACCCAGATAAAAAACTGTAATAGAAGAATGTGTTGTCACGTTAAGTGCTACGTCAAAATCCTACCTACTGACACCTCTAATAGTGAAACAGTGTCATTGTAATAGTTTAATAGTTTATTTAGATATAAGATATGCAAAAGACTTTAATAAGTAAGACTCTCTAATAGAGACTTTTTTTAATTCTAACGAAAAGGATTAAGATTTTTAATTTAAAATTTTATTATTTTAAATTTTAATTAATTGAATATATTATTATATTATAATTTTTACATAAAATCATTTAATATATTATTATAAATTTTAAATAAACTATTCTAATAATTCTAGTAAGTTTTTTCTTAAGCTTAAGCTCGACTTAGTTAATTAATTAAAATTTTTAAAAAATTTAAATTACTTATTAATTAAATAAATTAAGTCAAATTAAACTTTAAAAAAATTAAGTCACGAGCGGATAGATGGCTTAATCTATTTTCATCTTTACTCACACCAAAATCACAACCAACAACTTAGTGCCTAACACAAGATTTAGCCATGTTTAGGCAAATTACCCTCACAAAACATTTTCCCTACTTTCCTGCGGTAACTAAGAAACTCCTTTTGTGGGGTCAGAAATCTACAATGCAGTACGCAAAAATTTTATTTATGAAATGAGTCAAAATACTTATCATTTTAAAACCAATGCCACCTTCCCAGGATAGACAGTGACCTCTCACCCGAACCCCTCGTGTTTTTAATCTAAATACAGGGAAATGTCATATTTTGACAGATTTAGTATATATCCAATACATGTTAATTTATGTCTTAAGTGCACCTTTTAAAAACATTCTTAAGTGTACTGTTTAATAAAATAAAATTACAAATGTCTCATTACATTTATAATAAAACATATTTATTAATTTTTTAATAACATTTTCAAGATATTCATTAACAGGACTTCACATATGAGTATATGAGAATAATTTGTTAAAATTTAATAATAAAATTTTATTAAAATTATCTTGCAAATCCATTGAAAACAATGATTAAATTGTCTTAATATATTTTTTGTATTTATTTTCATTCTTAATTAATACCCTTAATTTACCATTCTGTGCAATATATTGCAGATTTGGTATTTTAAAGAGAAATAATTATTTTTTAAAACAAATTACTTGAAACATACATTTAATTATAAATTATCTAAATCTTCCTAACAAATAAATATTTGAGATATTGATGAAAAAATAATAATATTTTTTAATGTAAAAGCATATTTATTATATACAAAACATAAAATTATTTAACATATATTTTTTAATTAATTAAAATTATTTTAAAATATATTTAATACTTCTTAATTAATAATTATAATAAATATTAAACAATCCAAACATAATTAATATAATTTCCATTTAAGGGTAATATTTATTTTAAATTTTGAAATTATAAATAAATCACTTTAGTTCTTAACTTAACCAAAAAAGTTATCTTTAGTCTTTAATTTTAAAAAATAATCTACTTTATTTGATTTTTATTGTCATTTTGTATAAAAATAAATAAAATCAATATTATTTGATAAAGTTAAAAGATAATAGTAAAATATTCATAAAATGAAATATTAAAGTACTTAAAGAGTATGAAAGAGTAATATTGAAGTTATGGTTATCTAGCATTGAAGGAGATAGAGACCGAATATTATACGATAGGGATATTATATAAAGGTTTGGGGTGAGTAGCTGCATCACTGAGTAAAATAGTCACATGGATCCTTCGTTAGAATCCAATGCAAAACTTGGCAACGAGAAAAGCGAGGATCTAAAACCAGTTGGAGAGGAAGATGTTGACGCCCTGTGGTTTTGCATGGAAAAGATGGCTACTTTGGTGCTTCCAATGGCTTTGCGGTCGGCGTTACAGCTTGGCATCTTTGACATCCTAGCCAAAGCCGGCGAAGGTGCAGAGCTTTCTGCAAACGACATCGCCGTTGAGATTGGCACCAACAACCCAAAAGCTCCCTCCATGGTGGATCGTATTCTTAGTCTTTTGGTTACTCACTCTCTGCTATGTTGTTCTGTTTCTAATCCTCAACCTCAGAGTGAGAGACTCTACAGCCTCTCTCGTGTCTCCAAATATTTTGTTACTGATTCTGACGGTATATCATTGGGATTCACGTTGACGTTGGTTGTGGACGAGGTCTGCTACAAAAGCTGGTTAGTGAACTCGTTTTTGTTCAGAAAATTGGTAATTTGGCATATTATTAATTGTTGTTTGTTGGGTCAGGGGAGAACTGACAGGAGCAATCGTAGAAGGGGGTGTAGCGTTCGACAGGGCTCATGGCATGAATGCCTTTGAGTATCCAAGTGTGGATCCAAGGTTTAATGAGGTTTTCAACAAAGCTATGATCGGCAACACCACTCTAACAACCAAGAAGATTCTTGAATTGTATAAAGGTTTTGAGCACGTGACTAAGCTGGTGGACGTTGGTGGAGGTCTTGGGATCAATCTCAAATTGATCACATCCAAATACCCTCATATTCAGGGTATTAATTTTGACTTGCCTCATGTTTTACAACATGCCCCACTCTATGCTGGTGTGGAGCATGTGGGTGGAGATATGTTTCAGAGCGTTCCTTCAGCAGATGCTATTTTTATGAAGGTTCTATTTTCTCCTTCTTTAGTTCCAACAAAGCATCAAAATATTTTAGTAATTAATTAACATGATTGATTGGTGCTGAACCAAACGTTTCAGTGGATACTTCATGATTGGAGTGATGAACAGTGCTTGAAGCTCTTGAAGAATTGCTACAAAGCTATTCCTGATGACGGAATGGTTATTGTGGTGGAAACGGTTCTGCCCCTTGTTCCTGAGACAACAGTTGCTTCCAGATGTGCTTTCACATCTGACCTCATGATGATGACTCAAAATCCAGGAGGGAAAGAGCGAACCCACCTTCAATTCACCCAATTCGCTCAAGAATCTGGATTTAGTGGTGTCAGATTCGTGTGCTGTGTCTGTGGCTTATGGATTATGGAGTTCTACAAGTAGCCACGCGTAGACTTTACTATATTTTCTAAAATCCTTGTTTTATCAATAATTTGTAGTGAACATGTCTGTCTGCTGATTGATTAGAAGTTGGGGTGTGGAATTGTGTCTTAGAACATGGATTACTGCATATACTTGGAATACAACTTCCAGAATAATATATTATCATATAGATTGTCTTCAAGTTTAATTAATTACCGAGTGCACTTTCAGGTTTGAAACATGAAATAATCCATTATTACCCACCGGATACGTTACAATAGTAGATTTCTTAATGGGTGGCTTCATTGGGTTTTTTTATTTCAAAGAATATTTTTTTTTTAATTATAAAATTTCCATTTTTTTAATTTTATTTCTTATTTTTAAAGATTGTACAAGAAACACTAAAAATGATTTTTATTTTATTTTTTACAAATTTTTCAAATAAAAAAAGAGATAATAAAGAGACAATTTTATAATTAAAAAAATTAAAACAAAAGCCCCCTTAGCTTACAATTTTTCGCAATAAATGTATTGCCGTATTACAGATATAGAAACCATTCAGATCTGCAGCACACAGAATCCATGAATATGTGAAGTGCTATACGGAGGAACATCTTTGGCATAGGTAGTTTTTTTATATATTGTTTCTTTGTTTCGATCTTCTATGCTCATTGCATGTAATTTTGGACAGCCCATAAATCAGTGTGAGAAATTCCTAATTTCCCATAAGCTTAACTACCGTATGACTGCCATGTTGTTAGTTACTCCTAAATACAAATAGAACTTGTTCCCTGCTCGTACCCATCAATGGGAAATGGAAAGGATGAGATACCTGGTCTCCTGCTCCGTTCAATTTTCTTGTAATTATAATGATTATGTTGATTTTTTTTTTCCTAGTGCATGTTCTATTCTAGTGATCCTTTATATAGCTTGAACATAAAATGAAATTGGAATAACAAAGGGGTTATTGAAGAAATGATATTTTCTTGAAGTAGATTAATATATTATTAAAGTTACATTTATTATCAGGCTGGATTACATTACATGGGATAAAGTATGGTCAGAAGCTTATTGAGACGAAATGAAGCATGCTTACATCTTCAACATAATGCAGCAATTCCTCGCTCTCTTAGCTGCTTCCAGTTATCTCGCTATATGTTGCTTTTATATCCCGTAGGAAAGCTTCCCTGTCAAAGAAAAACATTAATCATGAAGTTAAATCATTGAACCAGATTATAGTAAATAATTCAATAGAATTCCTGTCTACCTGTCTGGCTTGTAAAATAGTTTCTTGTAAGCAAACCACTGCAAAGAAAGACAACGAAGATCAATTAATAGATGTTCCTTAACCCCAGGAATACAACGAGACTCGTTTTAATTTTAATTGCCATCGTTCATTTCCCATTTTACGTAATTAAATTGTGCTATCATACGAGATTGTGAAGATATACGACCTTCTTTTTTTCCACACTTTTATTTTACATTTCTTTTACAATCATTCTTCTCTTTCACTTTTTTTTTTCCCTATATCTCTTTCCCATGCCTCATCCCATGAAGGGGGAAAACGATCTTATCTAACAACTAAAAGCACAAAACATGCAAGTGATATCAGTAGTAAAATTGAATGGACTTACCCCACTGTAGCCAATGCCTACGACCTCAAGAATCCCAGGAATTAAAGGGAGTCTATCGATTGCCTGTTAAAAGTGATGATACAAGTTAATTTTAACGAAAGCACATTGTGACAAAGTATTGTGGGTGGGTATTACCAAAATGGTTGTCATTAAAGATGATTACTGAAAAATAATAATGAGAGGATCCAAAAAGGTCATTCGAATATAAAAAAAACATACTGAGATCATCCCAGCTGAGCCCCACAATGCAACCACACCAGCTACGGCTAATGAACTCACTGCATATTTATCTTCAACTTTGTCCCACTACGCAGCCAACATTAACTAAGTCAAGTCAGCAACACCATAATAGTCACATACACATTACTTGAAAAAGTTTGAGATCCTTACAGCTTCTTGAATAGTCTTCACAAACTCTGGCAGCTCCCCAACACCGAGCTCAGTTGGGGCAACTTCTGCTGCTGGTGCCTCTCTTGTGGTAGCCATTGCCATAACATTGCGAGCAATCCTGCGACCTGAAAACACCAGCCTTATAAAGATCAACTTCTCCTAGGTAACAAACACTAAGCAACATTTGTAACTCATTAAGCTCTGCAGTGTTTTATGTAATTGACTTACAAAAGGCAGTGGTCTTGGAAGGACGAGTGTGAGAGTGCAGAGGTGGAGGGGGGAGAGTGGGAAGGGTCACACATTGTGGGGAAGAAGCTGATGATTGTCTTGGAGCTTTGGCATCAACAAGGGTGGATGAAGAGGATATAGAGAGAGTGGAGGTGGAGGCTGAAGCCATTGTTAGTGAATCCCTGCAAGTTTTAATTTTACTGTGCTATGAAGGATTCTGAGGCCAGCAAGCAGGGAAAGAATATAGATTATGTTGTTGAGATACTTTATATTTCCAGTGTTTCTAATTTTTCGTGGGCATATCAATGTCAATGGTGTTTGATAATCTGCCAGTGGAATGTGGAGATCCTTCTGCCACAGCTTGAAGAGCTGAACCACTCATTTCTTTTCATTTTGGATAGAGTGGTGACATGGCTGAAAGATAGGCCTTATATGGTATTTCATTGGATAGCAAGTTACTGGTTGCCCTTTCTGAAATTTTCCAAATCATTTTTTTTTGGGGTCCAGTTCCAAATGCTTATATTTTAGTTATGTAACTGTCTTCTGGGTAAAATGATGCAGCATAAAATATCTGATAAAAGGTCAATTGTTAATTGTCTTGGAGTGACTTGAAAAAAAAAATGTAATTCCTCAATTATGTTGATAGTTGGTAGGGTAATCACAACCACACATTTTCTTTCATGTTTAAGACGGTTAAGGGAAAAATAAAAAGGATAATAGAGCAAGATGCTTTCAGTTGAGGACTGGACTGGAGTTTGAAGTTTGTGTTCTGTGTTGGGCCTACAACTCGTACTGTGTCGACAGAAAAACCAACTGTAGTCAGTGGGAGAAGAGGAGAAATGAATATGACCCACTTTTGAGGTGTTTTTTGCCTCACAAAAAATTACTCCACGACCAAAAGATAAAATACACAAAATTTACTCTATTAAGTCTTACATAAAAATAACTCCTCCTATGTATATATAGATATATGAAAGGAAAAATTTGTTTATGTGATTCTATATAATCTTTTTCTGGTCTAAAATCATGAAAATTTTGTCTCCTATCTCTATAAAAAGGAATTAATTTTTTATTGTTCACAAATATTTCTCTTGTATTTATTTTTCTTTTGTATTATTAACTAATAATATTATAATAATAATATTATTATAATATATAATAAGAATACTATAATAATAGTGAAATTGCTGGTACAAAGTCAAAAAAGGACTATGGGCTAACACCATTGATGAAAAATTCTATTAAAACATCTAACAAATTCTTATATGATTTTTAGTAAAATCGGAAAACATTAAGTATAAACAAAATATCCAAAAACATCCTTGGAAGTTTTAGGAGAATGAATGTTATTAACAGGTAGGAATAATAAGACCTGAATTTTATCCCCCTATTTCATTAAGTAATTTCATTAAGTAAAAAAAAATAGAAAAAAGATAGATTACTTTGCATACTCATACTCTTATTTCCATTTGATCTAATCCTTAGCGTCTCCTAATAAAAAAAAAATTTGAAATTTTAATAAATATATATATTAAATATTAATATATATATATATATATATATATTTTTATTAAAATAGAACTATTTAAATCAACAAAAAAATATTTATATTTATATATATACTTATATATATATATAAACTAAATAAATTAAATAAAAAAAAGCCAATTAGCTATTCAATCTAACTAATATTGAATAAATGCGGAAGCACTCATATACTTTACATCAGTCTGTATGCAAAGTTTTTCTTCCGCCCCTTCTCCAACTAAAAATGGAATTAGATTCCCTGTCCGACCTATCCTTATCCAATCTAATTCAAGATCCAGTCACTAGACGGACACTACTAAACGAACTAAAATTAAAAAATGAAATAAGAATATGAAATATAATATTAATATATTTTTCATATTTTTAATTCTGATATTATTATTCAATTATTTGATTATTATATTTATTATGTTATAATTATTTTTATTTATAATAAATAGAAATTGCTTAAATAGAAATTATATTCTATTCAAAACTAAAAACTTATAAAAAATGATAGAAAAATAAAATAAGAAATTCAATATACAATATATATATATATATACATTACAAATATATGTAAATAATATATATATATATATATATATAAATAAAAATAATAAGTATTCTATAGAAAAATAATAAGTATTTTTAATATATACAAAAAATATCTTTTTATTGTATTCGGCTCAATCTTTTTAGGAAAAGATTGGGCCGAGTTTAATTGCAATTAATTATTAATAGAACAAACGATAATTACTGGATTACAAAATATCCATTGCTGGGAATTCAAATTTGATCTCTTTCCATACTTCACAAGCAGCAGCTAATTCAGGACTCCATTTGCTAGCCTCACGGATAATTTCATTACCTTCACGAGCAAGATCACGTCCCTCATTCCGAGCTTATACATATGCTTCAAGAGCTACTCGATTAGCTACGGTACCTGGTGCATTTCCCCAAACACTTGCTATTGCTAGTACTAGTACATCTAAGAATTCTTAATTGGTTAGTTTAAATAGCCCCGGACTGTGGAACAAAGGAGTATCCCGAACCTACACCGAGGTATTGACGACGATTCTCAAATCAAATATCGCAGAACAAAATGGGATATGATGAGATAGAATGCAATAGAAACAAAGATTGTTGAAATTAAAAAATAGTCTAATTAAATTGAATTTTTTATGCTTCCTTTTTTTTTTCTACGGGTGTATATATATAAACATATAAAAAGTACGTTGAATCTTTTGAAAAACATAGCTTATAATTCAATTTTGATTATATAAAGGAATCTGAAACATACCCGTGGGAATTTATTCATTCAGTAATTAAATCCTCTTGAATCCTTTTTATTTTTTTTATTTTTTTCTAATTCCAGTTTCAGTTAAACCCCCTTCGCACATTCACTAGTATATGAGGGGTGGGTGATAATTCATCCTTCCCGAATGCAGCATACAACTATCCGTTGTACTATGCTCTCCAAGTGTGCTTGTTCCCCCTTCTTCCTTACCATGGCAAGTCTTTGTGAAATAACTCCGATGAGAAGGAAAAAAGAAGGCGTTAAGAGACCCTGGCCCAATCCTAGACACTCTAAGATCCTTTTTCAAACCTACTCCCATTTCGAGTCACGAGATAGATAAATAGACACATCTCATTGTACTGATTGGGGGCGTTCGTAGTGACTGAGGGGGTCGAAGACCAAGAAGTGAGTTATTTATCAGCCAAACATTCTATTCTTCTTATGGCTAAATCCAATCTCTTGGTCCCTCTGGAAAGGAAAAAGAATTTCACGTTCTTCCTTTCGGGAAGGAAGGATTTAGAAAATCCTATTGATTGCAATTTTCTCCAGAGCCCCGAGAAAAGCATGAAAAAAAGACTCAAATGGTACGATCCTGCCGTCACCCCAGAATGAAAGGGGCGATCTCGTAGTTCTTGGTCTGTGAAGATACGTTGTTAGGTGCTCCGTTTTTCTTTTTCCATTGAGGCCGAACCTAAACTTGTGCTCAAGAGATAGCTGTCCATATACTGATAAGGGATATATGAATTTTCGAGAAGAGAGGAGCCGTGGTGGTCCCTCGGATCCCACGAGTGAAGAAAAAGTTGGATCTACATTGGATCTCACCTGAATCGCCCCATCTATCCCAAATTGTCCACACTAACAATTCACCCCTCTCCCCCAAAAGGTGATTTTAATAAATAACCAAATATAATACTTGAACTAAGGGTCAAGTTGGTAATTTTTCTTACATCTCCTCCCTGGAGCCCAAGTATCATATATACCTCCAAAATAAAGAGCCTTGAATACTAGAAGAAAAGAACCTATACCTAACAAGATTAAGTAAATACCCAAAATTGTAGTCATTTTATTTTTATCTTTCCATACATAATCGAAAAATGAAAAAGATTCCTCAAGGGTTTCAGGTCCCAAAATGCATGATAAATACCGCCAAAGCCTAATACTGCAGAGGAAATTAAATGAAGTACTCCAGACACAAAGTATGGAAAGGTGTCTATAACTTCCCCCCAGGACCTACCCCCAACCTAAAGTAGATAGATGAGGAAGTAAAATTAAACCTTGTTCATACATGGGCTTCTCGGGTACGAAATGAGCCACTTCAAATAGGTTCATTGCTCTGACCCAGAATACTATTAATCCAGCATGGGCTACATGGGCCCCCAGTAGTTTACCGGATAAATTGGCGGCTATAGGTTTGCACTTTTATCCGATATGGGAAGCGGCATCTGTTGATGAATGGTTATACAATGGCGGTCCTTATGAACTAATTGTTCTACACTTCTTACTTGGTGTAGCTTGTTACATGGGCCGAGAGTGGGAACTTAGTTTTCGTCTGGGTATGCGTCCTTGGATTGTTGTTGCATATTCAGCTCTTATTGCAGCGGCTACTGCTGTTTTCTTGATCTATCCAATTAGTCAAGGAAGCTTTTCGGATGGTATGCCTCTAGGAATTTCTGGTACTTTCAATTTTATGATTGTAGAAAAAAATAATGCCTATACTTTATACTCTATACTATAGTAGATATTATAGTAGAAGGACTAATCACTTATTTTTTCTTTCATTGTCCCAAACATGCCAATATTAGCATTGACAGTATGTAAATGTAACTCGTTATTAAAGCAACTATTCAGAGTTTCAAGAGCTCCCTATAAGGCTTGTTATAAAACCCGTTGTCAGACTTGATTAATCACACTTTGTTGTTCAAAATAAATAGTTTCATTTTTGTAATTTTCTAATTGTTCCAAAGTCGTATAAATTGAATTAATTAAATTTAATTTTTTTCGTTCTATCTCAGAATAGTCATTCACTCGAAACCGATCTGCTTCTGTTTCGACTTTCCTTAAGCGGGCCTGGGCTTTTTCCAGCTGTTGAACAGCTCTTTCCCGTAGTTCTTCTGAATTTTGAATAGTTCTTAAGATTTTCTGTTTTTGATTATCTAATAAATCACTTAATGAAAGTAGATTATCTTTCCATTCATTTCAAAATGTCTATGATCTCTTTCAATTCATTTGGCTCTCACACTCAATTACTTATGTTATGGGAAATTTTCTTATCTTTTTTTTTTTATGTAATGAACCTATTCTCTCTTCTCTATTTATAAAAAAAAAAGATTGAAAAAATATTTAAAACGATTATCAATACAAGACCAGAATATTCGGAAGACTCTTCTGACAAAAAAAAAAAAATTGTCAGCAAAGTTGTTTTTTTTCTTCAAATTCAAAGAATTCTTACGAGTATGCAATAACTGACACACAGTTAACGTACTCTTGCATGAATTTGAATTTAAAAGTTACAGCATGTTTAGTTTTGTAATAGAATGTATATAAATTTATATTTATTTTGATATTATTAATTATAATTTTTAAATTAAATTATTGTTTACTGACTTTCTTTTTATTTTTCAATAAACATGTTTAAGAATTTTTAGTGTATTTTCAACCCACAGGCAATATAATTTTAAAAGTGTCGACGATATACTAATTCATGAACTGAATTTTGCAAAGACTAACCATGACATATTAACCACTACGAACATAAAAGGAAAGGATCTAAACAGAGGTTATCATCTAAATTGGGTGCATAGGTGCACTTTAGGTTTCTTTTTTCCTTTATTTAAACTTCAATATTTACATTATTTTTTATAAAATATAAAATTAATTGATTAAATTATTATATATTCTTTTTATAACTAGATATATCAAATTTTGTATAATTTAAATATTTATAAACATATTATTAAAAATTTAGCATTTATTTATAGTTTAAAAATTATTTTATGTTAAAATAAAATAATATGAGGAAGTGTTTTTTTATAAAATTAGTTTATTTGATGGGAATTTTAAAATTAACTATAAAATTAATGAATTTAATATTTTATAGAAAGTAATTAACTGGTATTAGAAGTCTGACGAGCAGAAAATATCCTGCCTAAGAATCGGAATCTCTGACCGAACACACATACTTCCCTAATCGATCAAAACAGACGGGTCAAAGAAACAGTGTCTCAGAAGGACAGAAGGGGACAAAAAGCAAAAGGCCTAGTAACGTGTCTTGACCCTTTTCAATTTTCTTGGTTTCTGATGCCACTTCAGAGCTTCATTTCTAACTGGGAACAAGTAATCGTGACTCTCTCTCTCTCTCTCTCTCTCTCTCTCTCTGCACGCACACAGATATGCCATGGTGCTTGAATGTTGCAGAGGCCATAGAAAGTCAGATTTAAGGGGACAGAATGGTTCTTTTTGGAATTTGAAGCAAGCACCTGAGAATTCTATCAATTGACCACTGTTTACCTAAATTTGCAATTCGCATCCATTTTTAGCATTGGCATCTAGATCATGATGCAAGCCCAAATTCCATTCACAAACTACAGAGTACAGACAACTAATTTCATCCATGGTTGGATTAATCTTATTTTTGTTCACCTACGTATTGTTAATTATCATAATACCCTTAAACTCTTAATGGACAAACAGAGAATTTATACGCTAATTTTCGAGACATGTAAAAATATGCATAATAATATATATTAGATAAGTTTTATTCAACATTTGGTGAAAACAGACAATATAATCATTTTAAATAACTAATAATGAGTATCACATAATATAAAATTACATTAAATATTAAAAACCATTATCATAATGATAATGATCGAATTGACTTGGCAATTGGCATGCAGTTTTTCATAATTTTTAATTTTAAAAAAATTGACAAGTAATGCACACTTCCCTTTAGAAGGCATAGAAAACCCTCCATATTTTCATGGATAAGTGATTGTTTGATAATAAATAAGGAATATCTGTTTCAATTCATTAGATATTTTTATGAATGTTAATTAAGTTTTTTCTATTTTATTTATAACTTTATAATAGACTTCACAAAGGAGAGAGGAGAAGGGAATAAGAAAATGGAAAAGAGGCTGAACACTTCATAGACCAGAAGGAACACCAATTATCTTAGGTGAATTGCTTCATGTTGTCTAATGATTCTTTTTCCCTTGGCCATACCTATAGAATAAAAACCAACATTTTTGTCCTCTTATGAATTATCTATTTTCCTTCAAAATTAGAAACAAAACAATGTGATTCAATTAAGAAAAGCCTGTCAACTAAATGAGAAAAATTAAACAATGAAATTCTTAAAGTTTAGTATCAACCACAAGTATGACTAAAATGAAACTTATAACATTTTTTTCATGAGCAAATTTTTAAGGTAATTGAGTTAATTTTTATTTTAAATTTAAGATGATATTAAAATTTATTATAGATCTAATATTAGATTACATTGGAAAAAAAGAATTTTTAAAATAGAATTAGATCACTTTAAATTTAAGACAATTTATTTAATTAGTGTATGTGCATTTAAACTCTCTCCTTTGCATACGTCCGAATGCATAAAGAATGATGGGAAAGTGACTCAACCTTGGATTTGATGGTAACTTACCGTGTTAATAAAGCAGGGGAGAGTTCTAATAGTTTGAGTTTGGGCTAAACAAGTGATTAATAAAAAGAAATTCTACGATAAAAGTGATGTTATTGATTTGCATATGAATGGTATTTGAGTAAAAGCAATAAAACTCCTAATTACTAGCAGAAACTTGGTATGGAGTTTGGGGTGTGGAAAGTAGAAGCAAAGGTAGCAATGATGAGTATATTTAAAAGGGAGAAGAGAAGTGGGCTCATAGCGCATGATGAGTGCCCAATTGGGACCGACCTTGGGCACCTTGGAGACACAAAAGAAAAGGAAAAAGCCAAACAGCAACAGAGGAAAAGGTGTAAACTGGCAACTCCAGGACCAAAAATGAATAGGAATAGAGGCAGGGTTTGTCTCTGACATGTTGCTCATGCAGATGGGTGTTTTCTTTTTCTCCTTTTATAAGAATAATTATATTTTTATATTTATTCTCAATCCTTTTATTATTATTATTATTATATCATTCATTAAAATTCTTATTCTAGTTTTTTCTTCTTGCACTCATTCCACGGTCTATTTTAAGGGTGTGAATAAGATATTTTTCTTTTTTCTAATTTGCATTTGGTATAACCTCTTCCTCTCTTCATATATATAGTAGAATATTTCATGTTAAGTTTCTTTCTGGCTATGGGGATGTGGTGCGAGATTGGGGTTGCCCTTCATTGTTAAATTTGACTTTTTTCCCCATGATCAGATTACCTTCTTATCAAACACCTTTCGCTCAGAAAAATTCCAACATTTTCTTGAATTGATGCAAATGGGCAACGAATGTACGAGCCTTTTCCCTCGCAAAATATCAAATTTTACGGTATTAAGGAGGATATATTTTGTGTCTCACTTGATATGGCCTACTATTGTCTTGGCCACAACTATTTTGGATCATTTATAGGAATTCTTGGAGAAAATATTTAAAGAAAAAGTAAATATAAAGCTGCTCAAATTAAAACAATCTTTCGACATTAAAAGAATCTATTTTGTGAAATAATTTTAATATCTACATAATGAACGTATGCTGTGTCTCTTATCAAAACAGCTTTAAAGTTTTAACTATATTATTTTAAAAAAAAATTTAATTATTCAATAGATACAAATAGATATTGTTTTTAATATATGATATTTAAAAATAATAAATATCAAAATATGATATTTTAAAAAAAAAATTTGAAAATATGAAGTTCAAACATTAGTATAAAGATTTAAAAATAGAATAATAAAAAATTAAAAAGTTCAAACGCGATAATAATTTTAATTAATATATAAAATTATAAAAACTCAAAATTCATCAATAATAATTTTTTAAAAAAATAATAAAAATTTCAAGTAAAAAAATGTTATTATAATTTTTGTCTTGATGATTTTTGAAAATTTTTATAATTATTTTTGAATAATATATCGTAGTAAATTTTTTCTATATAAAAAAGCCAGAAAATGCATTATGAAATAGCACATTTTTATTTTATGCCAACCGGTAAAAACTAATAACAAACACCTCTAAATTAAACTTTTTCTATTACAAAGGAAATATTAAAGTTTGAATTTGGAGAAAGTAAGTGTTGTAAAGATACCGGATATGTCGTTTTCAGCCACGTCAATCGTGATGAGAAGCGTCAGTATACATTATCCCAAGAGAATTACCAGTGTAAAATCAGTCTTTTCAAGGAAATGTCATGTAGTGTTGCATTACAACTTACTAATGTTACTGTAAAACGAAGGACTGATTATATTTTATATAAGTCAAAAAATTAAAAAAATAGAATTTCATTATTAATAATAATTATTAAAATATGAAAATAATGATTTTTTAATTATGTAACAATAATATTTTATTTTAAAAAAAAATCATAATATTAAACACATCATATAAATCAAATTGGCAGGTTGCCATATATGAGTCCTAAAGGATGATTTCGTCTATAATTAGTTTGTCATGGCTGAGGGCAAATGAATGACTTGATTAATTTGGGTAATAGCTGTAATTTAAATAATCTGTTGTATGGTTGCAATTAATCTGGTTTACACGTTGAAGGCCTTCCACGCATGATTTGCTTTTCTTCTGAGTTAATTATTTGTTGGAGCCCATCAAATTGAATGATGCTGTCATGAACTGAAGGCCAAAAAGAGGCCAGCAGAAAAGTGTGCACAAATATAATGATGAAACATCTTTCATAGTATACGGGCATTGCGCAAAGTCAATATAAAAAGAGTGCCATCATTCCCTTCTATCTATGTAATGATCAGAATGCCAAATTATCCACAGTGGAACTTCCTTAGGGAGACATGTTGGGCCCCTACACTCAATCCCAACCATATCACACCCATTACCAACCACTAATTAGCCTAATCTCTTACTTATACCTACGTTAAATAACAATAGACACATATATTATACACCATGTTATCATGATTCTAATCAAATCATCAATAAATTTGAGCAGCAGATACGATATGCTATGCTCACTTTTTCTATAACCATTATCCTCACATGGATATGAAGACAATAACTGGTTGCCCTGTGTTCCCCGTTTCTTAGCCATTCTGCCACTTGTCTTTCAAAGTTTCGTCCTTTATTCCTCTGCTACATACTCCCTAGGGTTCAAGCCAATGAACTTTAGCTGTTATTAATGGAGCTAAATATTCGATTAACTGCTTCTGCAATTTCACTTGCTGACACTATTTTACTGTCTTCTTCAATCTGCGTCACCATGTATCCTTTTAGAACCTCAGAATTGAAAACACCGAAACTATTATTGGTTTTAAAAAAATGTTTAGCACGATGATATATGTCTCGGGTGATAATTTATCAAAGTTACTCTCCATTTTTTAAAATATTTTAGTAGTTTTTTATTTTATATTAATTGTAGTTTATAATATTAATTAATTGATGCATATTTTTAGAAAAATTAAATAATAGTTTTCATAAAAATTAAAGCATTAATTATATTTTTTTAATTTCTTGAGCACAACGTTAAACAATAGTAAAAAGGTAACCTACGTTATGCTAAGGTTGGAATTCGGAAGAACAGTACACTGATTAATTCCACTTTTGCAAGTTGACCAAACAAAAGAAAATGAAGCGAAAAGACAAAGTAATACCTTGAGATTGAAAGAGTAGATGACTGTAGCCTCTGAGGATGCGATGTTTAGATGCAAAATAGTTAGCCTAAGATCCTCCAAGCCTCCAATAGCTTTTATCAATTGCCCAACTCTTTTCTGGCACTGAATTTTCAGGTTCACATGCGTTTGAATCACAGTGACCTCTATAGCTGTTGTCTCTGATTTCTGTTCTGCCTTAACCTCATCTCCACGCTTCACTTCTTCCGTGGATGAACTCATTCCATAGCCATGCTCAAACAACCCCCTACAATCAACATATTCGTTCTTTCTCATCCTTTTATGTGCTTCCAGGGATTGAAGTAACTGCTCCAATTCCTTCACAAAGTCTATTGCACCTCCAATGATTGATGCATGGTCACCCTATATCCCATGAAAGAGTTCAAACATTATTATGACTAAGAAACACAAATATTTGAGTCCGTGCCATAAAGATAGGATTTTTAACATGAATATAGCTAAAGAAGAGGCTTCAATGAAATGGGGTTGGCTCCATTTTTTAACCTACCCTTTGAATATAGGAAGGGGGCATGAGGGATTTTAGAACACTGAGATGCTCATTCATTTGGCGTCGCCTGTTGCGTTCCACTGCAATGTGAGTCATACGCTGGTTCTCAACATCTTCCTTGTTCTTCGTTTGTCTCGTTCTCTTTCTCTTTCTACGTTCCCGTGTAGCAACCTGAGTTTTGGGACGTTTGATTGTAGCTGCAGAATCTGCAATAACATTCTTGTTACTATCTTGAACTTGATGCGGATGTTGAAGGTGGTTGGTTTGGGACTGGTGTGGTGACTGCATCTCCACCAGGTCATGTGTGACGCAGCTCTCAATCTCCATGGCTTGACTTTGAGTCTCCGATATGGGTATGTAAGCTACTTTTTCCCATGGTTTCTTCAGTCTCAAGAGTGTCTGAAAGCTTGGTTCTTCGAAGGGGATAAATTGTGGGGATTCTACACTCTGAAGCATCTGTAGGAATGGCATGTTATCCTCTAAGCTTGACACCACAAATTCTTCATCCTCCTCAAGTTTCAACCTCAAGCCTTGCTCCAAACAATTCACTTCCAAATGCTCACCAAAGAACTGCAAAAAAGTAAAAAAAGAAGAGAGTACCATTAATTAGCTGGATTTCGTTCTACACAACTCAACCTTCCAAAAGAAGCAAAGGGTACATGCTTATATTAATAATGAAGAAAAGTGTGAAATAAAAGAGGAACGGGAATAGAATGTGGACAGAGCGAAGATACATGTATTTGCAGGAAATAACACAATGCATTTAATGCAATGAATGGATGGATGGGAAACAAGGACAGTAAGAATTACATACACAGGAACTAAGGGGTCCTTGAAACCTCTCCATATTCAAGCTAAGCAGTGATCCAATTGTATCTTAAATTCTTTCTCTCTTCCTACTCTGCGAGCGTGACCAACATTCCGTATAGTGATACTAACAAGGGAATAGTAATAAATGTAATCCCCAAGAATAAGCATAAAGACACCACAAATCCACCCCAGCAATATATATATATATATTGCTTTGTTTACTATCGCTTAAATTAAGAGATACTCTTTTTCTTCTTATATACTCCACTAGAGTATAACAATTATAAATGCTATTGTGCTTAGAACAACTCACAAGTGGAGGGAAAGAGTACAAACAAAGAGGTGAGTTGGTAAAAACATTGGTGAAATGGTAAGAAATAAAGGGTGGAGAATTATCAACTTGGTTAGAAGATGATGCACATGAAGGTGTAAACTGTGAGAAAGGCTGGAGCAGGGAGAGAGAAACAAGGGGATGATTGTGTGGTTTGCTTACAATGTCCTAAGCATTATTGGCGGTGGCAGTTTTGTCCATCAGCGGGGACAGACAGTTGTGGCACTCTCTCTTTTCTCACTCATGTAAAAGTGAGTACGGCAGAGAAAAGATTAAGGAAGAGATAAATAAAAAGGCTTTGGAAAGGGCTTCTATGGATTGTGTCAACCATTCAATTCAACTCAACTCTCTTCTCTCAAAACAAAACTCACTTTTATTTTTATTCATACGCCATTACTTATTTTCTCTCCACACCCACTTCACAATTTATATTTGCATTTTATATCGCACATCACATGGCCTGCAACACTGCAAGTACAGTGCCAACCTCCAGTACACCAACAAGATAAGAGTGTTGCTCAACTGTTTGATACCATTACAGCAAGCAAAAGATCCATCAGAGCAACGCTATTGTCACGATTACTGTTCCTCCCCGCCATTCATTGTAATTACTTAATAATGTAAAATACTGTGTTAATTAAATACTGCATTTTTTATCAATGTAATTTACTGTGTCAACTACTAAACTTCATTATCGTTTTGTGACGGTGCTATGACAAAAAACAAGTAAATTGCAAGTGGTAATTCACAAGTTGATAGAAAATATATTATGCTTTCTGAACATTCTTAAATATAAAAGATGAGCACCAATTGGACTCGTTGGCCTTAATATGAACAGTTTTGAGCTATGCTTTGTGCTCTTATGAAAAAGTGCTGTTCAACCGTCTTGATATTTTAATGGTTGTAAAAGGGGTAATATTTTAATTCTCCCATTGGGATAAGATAACAGTAACGATAGCGTTTAGAGCATGTTTTAAACATTTGCATGCTGACATGAGAGTATATGAGACAACACTGACCAGTGACCACAACCAGCAAATTATTTTTTAACTCTTACCCCATCGATAATGACTGCCAAATTTATGAATGACTTTAATAGAACACCATAACCTTAGCTTACTATGTTCAAATTAAGAGGTAGCCGCTGTCCACAACTGAGTACCAAGAAATTGAATTGGTAGTATCAGGAAAACTGCTAAGAAGCTTTACATTCTCATGTGGTTGTGACACACAATTTGTCAATAATAGACTCTAAAAGGCAGTGGCAGTTGGTCCCGTGGTAGTGGACATCTTTTTGTCTCCCACTTCATTCCCCAACTAATATCGCTTGTAAGTAAATACATAAAATTGCATGGATTTGCCGTAACAGGCTACCAAATATATATACATATATCATCTATTAACAATTTATTTCTAAATTAATCCTTATTAATGATTTTTTTAACAATAATTAAATTATTAATATAAACGCTATACATTTATATTTATTGGATGATATATTATATTAATAAACAATTTATCGTTGATCACGTAGATTAATTGATAGTCAACTTAAATCTGTCGTTCAGAGGGAGAGTTTTGTTAACTTGTGGTCTAGACTAAAAAAATATCAATAAATAATTTTATAAATAAAAATGTTTATATATTATTAATATATTAAATATTAGTATTTTATATTGGTCAAAATTAATAAATTATTTTTTAATTTAATTTTTTAACATTATTTTTTTACTTTTGATTTTTTTTATCAATTGTAACAGTCTTTTAGAGTCAAACTCAAATACTATGACATTTTTTGCAATTCCTTGATTAAAAAATGTTAATTACAAGACTTGTTTAAGTAATTAATAAAAATAATATTTAATTATATTTTAATAAATTTAATGTAATAAATAGATTTTTAATAAAAAGTACTGTTTTTAAATGTTTACTTTCAGACTTTAAAATTAATAAACCTTTGTTTTAATTATGTTTTTTTAGGCAACTGTTATTGATTCTCTCTCCATCTGGTCCACTACTTGGTAGGCTTGGTAGTTTGTAGTTCCCCAGTTCATTAGGCCTTGTGGAGTGGAAAAGCCCGCATATATATATTTTTTTAAATGATTTATTCTAAATTTAACTCAGTTGTGTACGTGATGGATAAGTCAATTATTAAAAAAAATTTACATACACAAAGACTTAAATTTAAGATTTTACTTAAATAATATCGAGTAACTTATCATTTAGATAAATATCTACTAATACTCACATATTTTTATTAGTATAAGTTTAAACTAATATGATATGTTGTATTAATATAATAATAAATATAACAGTATAATGCATTATTTTTTAATATAAATTTTATATTAATAATTTATTTTTATTTGAGAAGCTTTATATTCATAAAGATTATTTCAATACTTAATAATTTTTGTTAATAGACATTATTTTTTATAGTGAAAAATTGTTTAAATTGAGAATAAGATTTAAATTCTGTTACTTTTCGACTCTGTTCTAATACACTATTTTTGCCCATAAATTTTATAATGATCACATCTTTAAAATCTACGGCTCTAATGCCTGAACTTTCTTCAAAGTCTCTGAACACAGTTCTGCCTCAACAATATGAAATATAGTTATTTTTCTTACACAAGAAAATGATATCGGTCTTGTTAATTAGTGTTAGGCATTAGCTAAAAAAATTAATAAATAATAATTGTTTATTAAAATAATTAATTAATTGCTTTTTCTTAAACTTCCACTTGTGCGTTTGGAAATTTCATTATTTTCGTTTTACGGAGTATACTAAAACTCATTTATCATTTTCATATAAAACTTAGTACCTCTCAACGCGACAGTTAGTCTCAAAAATCACAATTGTGTCTGTAAAAATAGTCAACGGAAAATTTTCCAACATGACCTAAAAACAATATCGAATTGAAACAAACATGCTTGCAAACCATGGAAAGATATCCCTCTACCAGCGTATTTTTTTGCTCATGTTAACCCTCGAATAACAATTATGTGCACACATTTCTAAGTGAGTGCTGAGTTTAATTCCATCCAAAAGTGATCGATTCTCATTACCTAATAGTTTGAGTTCTTCATTCCACCAAAAACTAGTCAATCAAATCATCCACTAACATCAGAAAGAAAGAAGGGAATCCGATACCTTGAGCTTCAACTTCACTCTGAGAATCAAACTCCAACAGAGGAAACTTCATAGATGCGATGCCCACCATTGAGGGTCTCATAATTTGTACTTCATGTTTTTTTCATTTGTGTACGTTTAAAAGAATTTTATTTATTTATTCATTAAAAAAATTAAGATATTATTTAATTATATCTTTATCTTTATTAAATATTTTTCACAATTTTCACAAATGAGTGAAAACACAAAAGTTGGCATACTAAAAAATTAAAAAATAATTGTGAATCCATTCGTCAGTTCTTTGATCCTCTCATATGCTGTGGATGTTGATTTGTCTAAATTATCCCATAAAATAAAAACTTCATTCTAAATCAACTAACGAGGTTAAAATATGTATTTTAATTTTTTATAAATAAAATCTTATTAGTCCATCTAAGATGAAGTTTTTTATTTCATGAAATAACTTAAACAAACCCTTTGAATACATTCCACTTTCCAAAACACCACTCGAAACTTATAGGTTCTTAATTAGGACTAGCCACATCTAAGATCAGGGAACAACAGTTCATAATTCATCATAAGTTAAATAATTTTTAAGGTAGCAATCGATGCAAATGCTAAAGTGAGGAGCAAATAAGTTCCAAAACCTGCTACATGATAGGGCTATGGAGAGAAATGAAAATTAAAGTAAAGCGGCAAATCGACTCTACACTCTATAATATTATATTCAAACTATTAATATATACCAATAAGATATAGTCTTAATATTAAAATAAATAAAAAAATGAAAGAGAAAATTCATAGTAATACACAGCTAGTAAAAGAAATGAATTTATTTCCCGAAACTCAAAGTGTGTAAGCATTGGAAAGTTTCACATTATATGTCAGTGCTGGAATGTAGTTTATAAGCCTTACCTGGTATCTAGACAACTTCACTTAATGGTAATTAATTTTAAGATGAAATTCAACACCTAACATGATATTCAAGTTTATAACCCGTTTTATTTGTTCCAATCTAACATGATTTTTAGTACAATTTTATTTCCTTTCTTGCCAAATATGTTTTCTCTAATATAGGAGTCAAAACTGGCTGTAATATAACTTATGCTTCCCTTTGGCTTTATAAAAGCATTGCACTTTATAGAAAACGTCAAAGAGTACTGATGCCTTCTGCTCGAGCCACGAAGTGCCATGCGTTCAAACTTCAAACTCGAGACGCCGCTTTGCCGTCGCTGAGCACACCGCTAGCAAACTACAGTATCACACTCAACCCACGATCTCAAATGCAAACTCACAAAAAGAATTTGGTGTTAGGGAAGAAACAGATCCTTTACAGTACCCTGTTACTCTAACACGCACTGAAATAAATAAATAAATAAAAACAAGCCCCAAAAAAATTCAAACTCGTATATATTATTGCTGGTTAGAAAGAAAATAATAACAATAATAACATGTTCGAAGAGGAAGAATAGCATATTGCGGATTATTACAGTTAGATAGAGACTAGGGAGCTTCATAATCACAATCATAATCATACATCAACATCGCAAGGTTGAGCTCCGAGAAGAGGAGCTTGACCCATAAAACCTTTCTTGAAACCCATCAATAAGTCACACTTAACATAGAGTCCATAATGCGCAGTTTTAATGGCCCCAGCCTTCCACCTCACCCTACCCTCAAATATCAGCTTCAGACCCACCACACCATAAGCCTCGTCCACCATCAACCCATTTGAAACCTCCACCGACACCGGAACCGCCGTGCCTCCGATCACCGGCGACACCGACACCGTGCTGTGCTTCTCCTGGTGCAGCGGTGGCAGCAATACCTGGGGCGTTATGGCTTGGTTCCTGTAGGAGACGAAGGCAGAGAACCTGTCATAGTAAACGGAGACGCGCCTGTTTGGGTTCCTAATGAGGACGGTGAACTGCATGGTGGCTGACATGAGGGGTGGCGTGGTTGTATTGAGGCCGTAGATGGCGGCGCCGACCACCACGAAGCGAGGCTTGTGTGGACGGTAGACAAGCCAGAGAACGAGTAGAGTGATGCCGACTAAGAGGAGGAAGATGGTGATGCATGTGCACACTGCACGCTTTGGTGCACTCGAAATTTTCTCCTTTTCCATTTTGGAGTATGGAGTTGAGAGAAACTTGGGTAGTGAAGAAGTGAAAAAGGAAAATGGAGGAAAGGGAAATGAGAGGCAGAAAGGACTCTAACGGAGCTGATAATTATGAAGGAGTGTGTGGGTCATTTGCAATTAAAGTACATGACCCCAGTTTCTCATTTTAATTCTCATCAGTGATCACTCACTTTCAGTTTCACCCCCAAACTATGCGTTTTGCTTTTCTTTTCTTTTCTTTTTTTTTCAATTCGTAACATTTTTATGCTTTTCTGTCCAAATAATTATAATTTGCCATGCTTACGATTTTTAATTATTAAATAAAAATCATCGAATACTTTTTATATTTTTTTATTTGATGATTGCTTTATTAAAGAATAAAAAATTATTAGAAAGATTATTAATAAGATATAACAAAACTCTTTTTCTCCCTCTTTTCATTTGCTTTTCACACTTGCTTTTACTGTGTGGGACAATGAATGAACACTAATAATGAAGATTACTAAAAAAATCACTAAGAGGTTGCATTTCGAAATAATCTGAAACGAACTGTACGCAGACGTAAGATTTTAAATTTTGGTTGTGATTATAGAAAATTGTTGGCAAGTCAAAATCATGATATTGTGGTGTGGTTGATTGAGGATGCAATGTAAAACCTTGATTGGAAGAACTTGCATCAAACATATTATAACCTAATGATAAATGCAAGCAAGGTTGTCATTTCAGTACTCTAAAATGGAATTTCATAGTTCATGCTGACTGTATATAAATAGAAATACTAATTATTTAATGGGTTTCACATGAAATTTCATTTAACAAATAAAAGTATACAAAAATGTATCACTAATAATTTTAGACAGTGAATTAAATGACGTTAATTGTTAAAATTAGTTAAGTGAAACCTAGTACTTTTTATTATTGATAAATTTTATTAATCCAAATGGAAAATCATGTAATATTATCGTAATAATCAAATATTTGTTAATAACAGCTCACTTATATTTTAAATAACATTAGGTGATAAAGTATTAAATTTTTAATCATAAAAATTTAAATAAATTTAATATGTTTTACAAAAAAATTAACAATTAGATCAATAAATTTGCTTTAAATAAAATTGTGTTAAAAATTTTATTTTACTAAATTTATCGTCTGACATCATTTGATAATTACTCAATTCTTTCCAATAGTGATAGCTCAATCAAAAGAGAAACCAATACTAATTTATTTGTGGCAAATCCTGAAAATCATGAATTTAATTGAATCAAATGCCTTCTTCACTGGCAAACATCACAAATTAGCTTTCACGCTACTTGTGTCAATCGTTCCCAATAGTCAAACCTATAACGAAAATCACATGCGGAGTCCACCGTCTTCTTATGCAGATTTGTGTTTGCAAAAAAACAAAAAGGATATCTTTCTCTTTTTATTTTAGCGCGTGGAGCAGGTAATGGTGCTTTTAATTTTTGTTATAAAAAATAAATGAATCACCAAAAGAGAACAAAAGGGGAGAAGAAGGGTGTACAGAAAGAAGAGCTAAAGAAGGAGATGTGGCTCAATTTGAGTTCTTTTGCCGACAAATGGATAAGATTAGAAAATGAACAGTTTCTGCTTGCAATAAAAGAGAGATGAGAATAAGTGATTATGTGTTTTCACTTCAATTTTACACACGTTTGGTTTCCGTTTGGACCCTACCCCGTCACATTCCACCGCATACTCAACATGCTGTGTCCCACAAATGGTAAGCACGCGTCACATAAAATTTATACAAATCACACATGCACACTGTTTACTTTTGGTGGAATATTGCCTCCTTGTTTTCATTTAGGATTAGCCTTTATATAGGGTATTTGCACCCGGAGACAAGTGTTCTCCAAGTTCCAACGAGCCAAGAAAGAAAATGCTTTCTAGAGTACGTCTCTCCCACATCCTGCGTTCACTTAAAACGCGTGGCGATCCCTTCCAATAGAAAGAGAGACAAAGTAGGAACGTAAAAAATGTAGCACTGAACTGTCAAGGGGAACCCCGACCGCGTAAACGGCTACTTCAGAGCCCAACAGCCCTAACGCTCATTGTTCCAGGACTCTTCAGTTGTGAAGATTAGGAATCTTGAACAAACAAATTAACAATGTGACATGTCAAATAGTTTACGTCTAATGGGGCAACTAAGACTAAGATTTTAAGAGGATGCTCAAATGATTCAATGTAAAGATTGGTTGATGGCAAAACCAGAGATGCTTGCCGAGATAAAAGGTATTTCAACCTTTTAGTACAGAAGCATACTGCCTATATAACGACAGCCCTATATTATTCACTCGAGAAAACATATACAGGAGGTAAAATCAAAACTTTAGATCGATCCTACTAAATAATTACAACCCTACACTCTAAAAAACAGCCAATATAACAAGCCAGAAGAAAATACTAACAATGCTAAAAGCAAACACATTTCACCAGACACACTAGACCTTACTGTCAATCCTTGTCAAGAGGCAAATCAGTGTTGGGAGTCGGACCGTAATTCAATAATGGTGGTGGATTGAAATAAAACAATTTCAGGAACCACCACTGGCATCTACTACTGGATGGTCATTGTGTTGTATTTGGCGAACAAATTGCCCTTTCACCCGAGGGCGCTGCTCCGCCAGTCTCTTCCGGCTTTGGTATCGAACCTGTGCAAGAAATTAGAGTAATAAGCATCTGAAAGGATCTTCAAAAATTGTCAGCCTAAACCACTTAGACAAGAAAGTAATCTAATTGAAGATGGTAAGATTTTTAGTTAAAATATGATGTAGGAGTTTCCAAATTAACTAAAACTGCTCATCAAGGATGTATTAACGAAAGTTCACATCGTAAATTATGGTAATTTTGGGAATACATGGCAGCAAGTAATTGCTTTATGCCACAATTGTACATTTACCATAAATATTTTGAGAGCTCTTTTTAGAAGCAATAAAATGTATGCGATACCTTCTTTTCATAGCATCTGTCTTTCCGCTTCAGTCGGAATTTTGTTAGAGCTGCTTCCCGTTGGTTGATATGAGAATCTGTCCCTCTGAATCCATCGTAGCTACGTTGACCACTATCAATAAAACTTTCAGGGTTGTCCTTGGCTACCAGAGCTGAAGTAGCATTTCCATCACTTCTGCAGCCTAAGCTTCCGTATGTACCACTACTGTTATGATTTGCTGCATCATGGTAAAAACTAGTGCTAGAACTCTGACCAGCGGCAGGAGATTCATGTGTCCCACAATCCAAATTGCTTTGATCATTTGCATTTTGATCAGTAGTATAAGTTGCATCATCTGACCAGTGACGACGTTCTGAGTTGTGACTTTCAGGATTGGACTGGGAGGAAGTACTTGTGGGAAATGGAGAACTCTCTTTCTGGCATACTGGCTTTGGAGTCCATATGGGATGGACACCTGATTGTGCGAGGATCATAGAAGGGAAAACATTACCTTGTCCCGAGAACTTATGATCAGAATTAACCCCAGTAGCAGGAAAGAATCTAGGTTGACTGTTTGGTAATTTTGGATCAACTTGTCCAGACTGACCAATGATCAGACCGGTGATTTTCTCCTGATTTTGATTTTTTCCCCAAAATTGATGAGAGATATTTGTATTTTCAGATAACTGATGAGACTCGTGAGAGTTCTGACCAGCATTTGTTAATTTATCAGAAGTTGATGGTGTTGAAAAAAGAGGCTGCAACAACTTACTACTGCTATACCTGCAGATAGGAATTTTATCACACATCATCAGAAATTCTCTGATGTATTTTTCAAAAGATCAATAGAAAACAAGTTTTGGAATGCAAAAATTGATACTGATTTCTCAACCAAGGAAACAAATTATCCAGGATTTCAAATTTTGTTGTCAACATCGCTTCAAAGTATTATTCAAATTGCTGATGACTGAGGACAAAATACAACAGTATATCTGATTTCTATTTAGAAGCTTGGCCAAATTTACCACCACTTGGAGCTTCTCATTTCCAAAGACTAAAAATTCCATGCTCTCAAAATGGTTTAGTCCATATGATAGCACCATTTAATCAGCTTTTAACACAATTAGTCCTACACAGCATAAACAAAATGGGGAAAGGAGCAAGAAAGTACATCTATAAAGCAAAATTAAAGAAACCAGAGACTTCATTTATGCTGAATGAAGGTTTTTACTTTGTTAGCAAGAGGGAAACTTTTTATGACACCTGTCTGCTGTACTTAATTAAAATTCCAACCAAATAGTGAACTCACCAAGAAAAGGCAGAAGCATTTGAATGGTTCAATATTTTCCTTTCCTCAGATGCAGTTTTACACGAGCTGCCAGGAAAATGTCTTCTTAAAGAAAGTTCCAGTTGTGTATCAAAATCAAACTTGGCTATATTACCACCATTGAAACTACAATTTTCATCATTGCTCTTTGGAATATCCTTAAATGTCGCCATCAAGTCAATAGCCCCAGTAGAAGGTTTTACCACTTCATCACTGCATCCACGAATCTCTGTATTAATCAAAGGATTGGCTTTGCTAAACGTTGTTCTTACAACTTCATCTTCATTCTTTGTTTCACTATCCTCATGGCCTTGACCTAGCCTTAAACCTGTTGGTTTAAAAGTTTTGTTGCTCCTTGCAGTTTCGGATAGAACTATTGATTTCTCTGTAATACATGTTAACTGTCACTAAGTAACAAAATAAGGGCAAAAAATTTGACAAAAATGAAGAAAATAAGACAAAGTTACATACCCCCAGCTTCATCGTTATGCTTAGCTGATTCCCTTTCACATTTGGCAGAGTTTTGGTGGTTCACTATGTCAATATTGCTCAAATTTGAAGAACTCTTTAGCTGGGACATATCCTGCATATTTTCCAGGCATGCACTCTCAGCTTCCAAAATTGGCGATGTACATGTGCTCTGCATGGCAGTTGGCAAAAACATGCAGTTTCTATGTGAAATTTCATGAAGCCAGCCTAATCTAAAAAGAAAATTTTCCTCAAGTTGGCAGAAGATTGGCTTCATAGTTGCCTTGAAGATATCCTAGGTTTATGCCTTTGTATGTAACTCAAGCCAGGCAATGAATGTATAGATAGAATTTCAGAAATGAAACCATGGCCACTAAAAGTTAAGTTAACTGCTGTTTCACACCTAACACACTGAAATCTGGGAAATTAACATATCTAATAATCATATTGCAGCATATTATTTCAGTGGAATTTCAGGGGCCAGGAGAGGAAAAACTTACTTGAGCCTCACTAGTTTTCTCGCTGCATTCATCATTTTTCTGTGTAGAAGCCACAGAACCACTAGAATTGTTGCTTGCAGCATGGTTTTCTGCAGCAACATCAAGTTTGATCTGTGGTAATGTTAAATTTTCAGGAGGCTTGCTAATCTGTATAAATAACATAAAATTGAAACAAGAAAAGTGAAGTAAATATAAATCAAATTCATAAGCTCACACTAATAAGCAAAAGTACATATCAAAATGTTGCCAAAAGAAAGTTGAAGAAAATGACATACAGCATGCCTTCTCCATACATGCTGCCACAAGTTTCTTAGCTCATTCCTACGAACAGGTTTTATAAGAAAATCAGCTGCCCCTTTTAACATGCATTTGAACACCATGCTAACAGAATCATGAGAAGACATCACTGCAAAATAAGAAGTTGGGAAAGCCCATTAGCCATATTTAGCAAATATCAAGATTTGATAATTCAGGCCACACAGTACCAAGTCAACAACACATACTTATGACAGGAATGTTTTTGCAAGTGTCATGCTCCATGATTAAAGTAAGAAGTGAAAATCCAGATATTGATGGCAAATCCACTTCTGTTAATATGAGATCTATGTCATCTGCTTTGTTCTTCAATGTCTCCCATGCCTTTAATCCATCACGAACTGCAGCAACTGCATGTAAAAACTACCATTAAGAAGTTCACAACCATCTCAAGGTAAACTCATCTTCATCACACTAGCTTGCAAGGAATTAACCTTCACAGTGCCTACACTAGACAATGCACAAATCAAACACCACAAATATTCATGCTGTAAAGCTACTCCCACTGGTGGAGAATAAGGATACAATTATATTTCCTCAAATAAGAAAAACCATATTTGGAGCACGTATGTTTTGATTAGTTTATTTCACACGTAAAGTATGTTTTTAAGCCGAAAGCTCTCTATTGAGAATTTTAGAATTTTCACAAAACTAAGTGACAGTGGATCATGTTCTTTGCAAAGCTAATTCATGCCATGAAGGAAAATGACCACATGAAAATCTGGAAGGATCCTCAATGTGGTTTACCAATCTGATACTTGCAGATGTTATGGGCACCGCACCACATCTGTTAGTCTTTGTGTTTGTGTTTTTTCTTTGTTTCTCATGCACCAAAAAGTAAGTCAATACAAACACAGATTTAAATTCCCAGAATCACTTTTTTCGTTGAGGTCATCAGTAAGGATAAATCCGAACCATAAAATTGGGTTGACAAAGATAACTGGAACGGAAAATGGTTTCAAATATTAAACCAGATCAGCAGATCAAACCAGATTGATGGCCAATATCTAAAACTTCAGTTCAGAAACCAGCGACCAACTGAACCCGTTCCTTTCCACTGGTTAACGAATGGTGATCGTCGAAAACTTATGGTTGTTGAATGTTTTATCCTTTGTTAGTTGTTGCGTTGAATTACTACACGTATGATGAAGCAATTCAATCACGTTAAAGATATAAACCTTAATGTTTTTCTCCATGATCTTACTTTATATACACGAACATTAAAAATGCAGTTCAATGAGGTAGGACCTCAAAACCAGTACTCTCTGCCTTACCCGTTTAAGGAGCACTGAATTTTACAAAACGCTGGTGATGAAATATCTAGCTGTGTTGGTAAATCGGCATTAAACATTTTTTCAGAGGAAAGATAAGTGGTTTGTATTTTCTTCAGAAAGAATAACATAGCTCAACCAATAATAAATGAAAAGGGAAAAGAAAAGAAACCTCTGTAACTGCATTTACGGAGAAGGGCAGCAATGATCTGGCGAGTAGAATCATCAGCTTCGACAAGCAACACCCGAAGCACCATCCGAGGCAGAAACCTCTCCCACCGAACCGCGGAGGCACTGTTGGTTTGGTCCTCCTGCGTCGGTATCAACCCCTTGTGAGCCGCCACTTCACCCATTCTCAAACAAAATGCTGCTACATTAATCAATTAATGAGTTAAAGATGAAACGAAAACCACATCAAAGACTTAACCCTAATTGGTGGCGAAAAAAGAAGAAGAAGAAGAAGAAGGAAAATGAACCTCATGCTTAGTCTTAAGTTGAGCAGTGAAAATATCTGAAAAGTCCGCTAAATTGAGTGGAGGCAAAACGAGAGAGAGAAAGGAAGAATTTCGCAAATTTCAAACCGCCTTCAATACTCGTAACCTCACCTCACAACCGCGAAATCCTACAAAATATCTTGTCATGTCAGTTAGATGTGCATATGCGATCCCTTTCTCCCTATTCATCCAAACGTGGCCTCTTCTTCCCCGTGCTGACGTGCCCCATTCTCCGCCATTCGTTTCTGATTTTCCCTTCCTCCGTGGGATCCACCCATTTGACACGTGCCTTTGCCGCCTCCTTCACAAATAAATATATAATAATTTATTTATTATATCGTACCCAGAAACACATCCACGTTCAACCATATCACACGAGACATGACCTTAACCGCATTACCCTGCGAGATATTTTTTTGCCCAGAATGCCACGTCAGAAACGTGCCACCACATTTCACACCTCGTGGTGGGGACTCTGACACGTGGAACCTTCCCGATTGTGTGGCTCTTCTCCGCTCGGTCTGTTTCTCAGGAGCCACCACACGACGACCGCATCTTCTTCTTCAATGATTCTCAATTATTTCCTCTCTCTCTTTCTTTTGCTTTTACATTTGTCTTTGCTACCACTTGTTTTCTTGTTTAACTTTTTTTTTCCCTTTGTTCTAATTGTACGTAACTCTGATGTACCTTGCATTTGCCGGGAAATTGACTCACTTTGCTTGCAAATATGCTAGTTGTTTCGTGCCAAAAAATAGTGGTCCCTCATGGGTTTTGGAATGAGACAAACTGTTTGGTTAAAAAAACTCTTTTGGATATTACAAAATACTCTTAATTTTTTTTATCCTATTTTAATATATAATATTGAAAAAATATATTAATATGATTTAAAGTGAATTTTATTGATGTTAGCTAAATAATATAATTTAATTGATTATACCAATTTCCATATGAAATCCTATTCTTATGAAATGAAGCTCTGGTTTAAGGACATAAAATCATGTTGAGTGAATAAAATTCAAAATATAATGTATTCGAGGTTTTGTTGAGATGAAAGTATATTAACATAATCAAGATTCTAACATGATATCCAGGGATCCCTTTTTCCTCAATTATAAACCGTCACCATATTTCTGTCACTTTTGACCTCTTCATCATCTAAACTAGTCACAGATGTGTCTCCTCCTGGATCCAATATATAGCTTACATATTTTTTGCGACCAACTTTCATGCTAAACAGCACCTTTCTTCTTCACTCTGCTATTTGGTTCATTCTTTCTAGAGCATCTTTTACCACAATAGAAGTCACTGTACCACCTGTGAAGAGTCTAATTCCTACAATATAGAACCTGGTAATTAACACCTGTAAAAGACCATATAGACTTTCCTACACTAGGAAGGCAGGGTTCAAGAATTTATTCAAACTAATTCAAACCATCAAACTGATATAAAAGAATTAAAAACAAAATACATCAGTAATAAAAAAAACCTAAAACTAATAAGATCACATTTTTTTTAACGTAATATGATTCAGTTTTCCCTTCCTATAATTAAAATTGAATTGTAAACTCAGTAAATTTATATTAATTTTTATATTCTATCCTTGTATAAACACTAACTAAGCTTATTGAATAAATTTGTATTTTAAAAAAATATTTGATGAAATTCAATACTTTTAATGATTTTTTTATATTTATTATACTGACTAACAGTAAAGCTCCACACCACCACTCATGATGTTCATCATCTCACGACAAATAAAGTGACTTTTTAACACCACCACCACAAGTGATATTGGCTCATCATGTCGTATATTAAATCTATTTATCCCATTCGAAAGTGCTGAACCTCTCCTACTTTTGTCAAGGAGCCATTTCCCGATTCAAGGAAGTACATAACCCTACATTAGACATGGCTCATACTAACTCGATAGTCGATATGGCCTTGACATGTTTCTTCCATGCCTTTTATGTTATCCAATAACATGACATCATAGGAATAGGATCATCACCTAACAAAAAATACCCTTAATCCTATAAATACAAGGGCCGGGTAGACCGTCTAAAAAATGCAATTTACCCCGTATTATCACTCTGCTAAAACTTCTATTCACTTGGGAATTGTAGTATTTTTTACAGTAACATCTCCTGTTGGGAGAACCATCACATCAAAACAGTGTAGCCACTGTTCAAGGATCAATGACTAAAAATGTACTTATAACATTATAAAGAATTATTTGGGAGAATAATTATTGAAAAAAGAAAAGAAAAGAGAGTAACTTTTTTTAAAATTTTAAAAAATATAAATATTTACGATAATAAATTATATACATACCAATTTATTATTTTATATATTTAAATTTAAAAATTAATTAAAGTAAAATATATTTATTTAAAATAAAAATATTATACTCCCCCGTCCATTCTAAAACCTCTCTTCCCAACTAATTTCTTAGTAAATGCAGGGAAGGAAGCCACCCTCACTTGATACTGATAGTGCTATAATTAAGAATTCTAAAAGATTGTAGACATTTTCTCTTTAGTGTATATTATGATTATCCAAGAACAACTTCCCACGATAGTTTTCCGTTTCAATTGGCAAAAATAAACGCAGTAATTGAGCATTATCTAGGTTGATCTCATATAACCAAATAAAGGAATATAAACAAAGCTCTACAAAGTATCAAAGTGACTTATTCAAAATTTATCAAAATCAATTAAAATTTCAACTTTTTCTATCTTTGCGTTATTAACTTATTATGTTATACATACTTAACTCATTTTCATTATAGAAGAGACCTATCACCATAGAAAGTAGTTCACCGCCAAACATCACCTTGAACACTAAAAATAAGGCCAATAGGAAAATAAAATGGCGTAGTGATGAGTTTGAATTGCACCCTTCCCCTTTCCTAAATAAATAATATGCAGGGAAAAACATGGTAGATGTAGTGGCTTGACAGTAAACATCAACATATTTAGGTGGGTTAAGGTATTATTCAGGTGTGTGTTGACAGAAAACTTGGCAAAGTAAATTTAAACTTTAGTTCAAATTTATTCAAAACAAACTATCGTATATTTTTATGATTACATAAAATGACTTTTTGTCTAAAGCCTAATCAAGTGTGACTGGTCTGTAAGGAAACACATATTGACTTGCAAAGGAGGTGATGGATGGGGGGGGGGGGGGGAAGTATTTAATACTTTTACATTTAGTTTTAAACGAGTAAATATTAATACAAATTTTATAATAAATACAGATATAAAAAATTTAACAATAAATATAACTTTAATTTTTATATTTATGAAAAATATTAAGAATTATTTATTGCAAAAAAGATCAATTAGTTATGATCCTATCTTTAAAACCAACGGAAGGTTAGGAATTGTGTATAAACATAAGGGGAAATAACCAAACCATTGTTCTTCCCCATTGGCTTCCTTTCTGAACTGAAATTGGGAAATCGAAGAGATGCACAGACCATTTGTTTGCTCCAAAACTCTAATAACCGTTGCTTCCAATCGCATCTTCTTCTCATCAGGATCATCACAGTTGAATCCATCACTATCCCATCACTTGCAAAACCAAAAGCAACAAACTTTCCACTCCTCCAACAAAGACAGCGGGAATTCCCCAATCGGGTCACCAACCAGAGTCCAGAAGCTGATAGCATCCCAATCAGACCCTCTTCTGGCCAAAGAAATATTCGACTACTCCTCTCGCCAACCCAACTTTCGCCACACATACTCCACCTATCTCATCCTCATCCTCAAGTTGGGTCGCTCCAAATACTTTTCTCTCCTCGATGATCTCCTTCGTCGCCTCAAATCTGATTCGCACCCCATCACTCCCACCCTCTTCTCTTACTTGATCAAAATCTATGGCGAAGCTCATTTGCCCCACAAAGCCCTCAATACCTTCTACACCATGATGCAGTTCAATTGCAAGCCTTTACCCAAACACCTTAACCGCATTCTCCAGATTCTCGTTGCCCACCGTAATTATGTTCGACCCGCATTTGATCTCTTCAGGGACGCTCACAGGCATGGGGTTGAACCCAACACCAAGTCCTACAACATTCTCATGCGTGCCTTCTGTCTCAATGGGGACATTAGTATTGCCTACTCCCTGTTCAATAAAATGTTTAAGAGAGACGTTGTTCCGGATATCGAGTCTTACCGGATTTTGATGCAAGCGTTGTGCAGGAAGAGTCAAGTGAATGGAGCTGTTGATCTTTTGGAGGATATGTTGAACAAAGGTTATGTTCCAGATACTTTGACTTATACTACTTTGTTGAATAGTTTGTGTAGGAAGAAGAAGCTTAGGGAAGCTTACAAGCTTCTTTGTAGGATGAAGGTCAAAGGTTGCAATCCTGACATAGTTCATTATAATACTGTTATATTGGGGTTCTGTAGGGAGGGGCGTGCTCACGATGCTTGCAAAGTTATTGGTGACATGCATGCCAATGGGTGCTTGCCTAATCTGGTGTCTTACCGTACTTTGGTTAGTGGTTTGTGTGACATGGGAATGCTTGATGAGGCAAGTAAATATTTGCAGGATATGCTGTCCAAAGGTTTTTCTCCTCACTTTGCTGTTATTCATGCCTTAGTGAAGGGGTTCTGCAATGTTGGTAGGATTGAGGATGCTTGTGGAGTTCTCACCAATTCACTAGAGCATGGGGACGCTCCTCATATGGATACTTGGATGATCATAATACCTGTAATATGTGAAGTGGACGATGGTGTGAAAATCAGTGATGTTTTGGAGGAAGTTCTCAAGGTTGAAATTAAAGGTCATACTAGAATTGTGGATGCTGGCATTGGTTTGGAGAACTACTTGATTAAGAAGATACGAGCCAAGTCAAGAGCATGTTAACATCTGCAGGACTTACATGCTTGCTTTTTGTCATTCATGCTGTACTAGGTGAGAATTTCATTCCATTGCCTGCAACATGTAATGCCCAACTATTCAAATTGAATTATCTCTTGTATATACATGATTATACTTTATGATTGGGGTCTCAACCATGTGACAACATTTATTTTCCAAATTGTGTACAATACATAGGATTGCCTCTTGAAACTATCCGTCGGCGAATTTGACTAAAGGTTCCTCCTGTAAATAAGGTTTTCAATAACAGCATTGAATGCATGTCATTCATAATTATGCTGCTTGTCTGGAATACAGAGGATAATAATTGTTTATCTGAGGATAGCTGGGAGATCCAAGAATTGTCAAGTCCTTGGAACGCCAGAGGCAGGAACGGGGTTTCTCGCTGTTATTTTTTGGTAGTCCATTGAAGTATTCTACATGGAAATATCGAACTACGTACATGTCCAAGCATCACAGGCTAATATCTTGATCTAAAGAATTCATTGTTTTTCACCAAATTTGTCATTTTTGTCTAATCTAATGCAGATGTCAATTTCCCCACCCAATTAATCATTATTGATTTAAATATGTATTAGATACTTTGTTCTTGACCCCAATTTGAGGACTCCACTAGGAAAATCATCTTCAAAACTACATTAATATTGATTATTGCAATAAGCAATATAGAACACAACAATTTGATTATTCACATTTTGGAAACTTCAAAATTACAGATCAAGGATACTATTATTGCCTTAATGGTGGGATAAATAGATGGTGGAATTTGTATCAATTCTAGGCTGATATTTTTTTGCGTAAATCTACTGATAATTGATTTGGGAGATGCTGTTTTTTTATCTTTTTGGTCAACTAGGGTGATGCTCTTAAAGTATGCCTAAGAAACGATATTGTTGCGTAAACACATGATCCAGTCCCCCAAGCCATAACGAATTATTCCTCCAAAACCGACCTCCCCTAGGTTGCCAAAGGAGCTTCCATCAGTGTTAAGCATGGAAAAGCCTTCTGAAGGGAGGTCCCATCTAAAAAACAAATCCATTCTTCTCCAGATATAATTCAATTACAAATTAATGCAGGTAGGTAAATAAATAAAAATTGAGGAAAGGGGCATATGGCTCATTTTCTTCCGCACAGCTGCTTGCACCAATATACATTCACTATGGATTAGTTTGCGTGACTAACGTTATTCTTTTCAAACAAGTGGATGATATCCCAAAAGGCAAATTCACTTATTCGGAATCAAGTTGTGACGAACTTATGGATAAATGAAATATTGTCTGGGGATCATGTCAATTATACATCGCCCACGTAAAAAGATATGTCTAAGAAAACAACTGCACTCATGTAGATGATTACCATCTGTTCTGAAATTTAGATAATTAATATTTTGAGGTGAAAGCAATCATTTTAATGAATGAGACGGTCTTCAGTTTCAGACTAAGCCAATCCAATTCCAAAGCCAAATACACGGCGAGATATTGGCATATTGCTGGTCGCAATTTGAAATACAAAAAAAAGAGAGTATAAATCCAGATTTTGATGGAATTTTCACAGTGGGTAACCCCTCTACTTCTAGCTGAAATTCTAGTTTAGGAATGTTCTCCATCTCGCATCAATCTAAGGTATACGAATCAGAGCAGAATGCTTCATCCTAAAACAACCAAAACTGCAACAATCTCTGCAATCTAGATCTCCGGTTCGGTCTCAATCCTCTCTCCCTACACCCTCTCTAATCACTAGCGTACGACCACAAAATTCCTGCAAGAAAGACCAAACTAGGTATCAGACACAAGCAAGTGAAATAAGAAGCACAACATTGGAAAGTCAGGGAGGCAGGTTTTACTGTTCCATTGAGGGACATTGCTGCATCACGTTCTCCCTCGGAAAGATACGAGATAAATGCATAGACCCGGCGTTTCCCATGTCTTAAATCTTGCAACAACCTTACACTAGCCACATTACCAAACCTACCAAAGAGTTGCCTCAAGTCTTCAGGCCTAGCAGCTCTGGAAAGATTCCCAACATACAACTTATGAGGACCTTCATAGTATATAACTCTCTTGGGTGACGAGTTCATTGTCTCAAGATTCCTCCCCCTAGGATTCATCTCAGCAGAAAATCTAACCCGCATTTCGCGCCCGCCAACATCCTTCAGTTGTGAAAAAAGGAATGAAGAACAAAATTTCATATCAAATAGCCAGAACCAGAACATTTTGATCAAATAGATGCAGGGAGCCAGTTTCACACTCACTAACCGTTCTATCCAATGCATCAATTGCATTTTTTGCGGAGTTAGTAGACCCCATCGTCACATATGCACTCCCTCTACTTTCACCACTCCCCTCATTCCGGCAAACCTGCAAAAAGAGCAATCAACAGTAAACAGATTATAACCATTCCTTTCACTGTGATCATTCCATTCCTTCCGACCGCTCTGCATTGCTGACTCAGATTATAACCATGAAAATTGAAAACTTTCTAACAATCGAACTACCTACTTAATAGAAAATTTTGAGCTTTAAGTATGACAATATTTTCATATTAAATTAGCTAATTTGAAAATGAAAAAGCTTGTGTGCAAATATTTAAGAAAAAAAGTGAAAATTTCATGACAAGACTAAACAAGATAAATCAATAAGACGTTGAATATGAAAAAGAAAAGGAAGAAGCTATAAACCTCGGCAGATAGAACGGTTCCGTGAGGTTTGAACATATGAAGTAGCTGTTCGGTGTCACAACTTCTTGGAAGGTTGCACACGTACACTTCTGTTGCCCTTGGCATTTTCCACAGTTCTTCTTCCTCCACATGTTCTCCTCCGTCCACCGCCGTTTCCGCCGAGGCAGTAAAAACCCTAGCCTTAGAGCTGCGGCCCGGAAGAAGACACAAAGAAGAAGAAAAGCCCGCAGAACAGCAAACGAATCGTCTCGGCGCACCTCCAAATGGGGGTTTGGGGTTGTCCTTCAGTAACGAGAAAGGAGTTAAGGCCAGAGATAAAGTAGCATTAGCCGCCATTTTTTGCCTCCAAAAGTCCCACAGTAGTGAGTAATGGGCTAGTGCTCCCCAATAAATTGTCATTGGATCCGGATCCTTGTATTTTTTTTATGACAATAATTTATATTTTATTTTTACCTAAACTTCTCTAAATTTATTTAAATAATAGAGTTTTGTTAATCTCAATTTTTAGAATTAATTTAAATATTCATGAATAAATTTTTTTATAAAGAATATATAATTATTATACTAAAATTATAAAAATATAATAAATATTTTTTAATAAAATTTTACTGTAGCTTAAGTAAAGTCGTAAAAACTCGTCCATTTATGCTAGCGTTTGAGTCGCAACCATGCCTAAATACATCGTGTCATTCTTCGTATATGGCGTGCTTTCTCTGACTCTGATGTTGCTACATATAAATATTTACACTTTTATCAAATTCATAATATAAATCTTTTTTTTTTTTTACCGATTCATTGAAGCATAGAGCACGAGAATTTCACGAAAGTTGTAGCAACACAGAGCAATTTTGATTTAAATTATTACAATTTGATTTAAATTATAACAACAGTAAAGGGTACAACAACTATGACTAATTTTAAACCAGTCTTAAAAAATTAAACACGTAATAAATAAATTTTTTAGTTCATCATATTTTTTTAAATCAGATTAATATTTTAAATTCATCTTTTAAAACAATTTTTTTATTCATCAAATTTTATATTATTTATGAAGATATTATTTTATGTCCTTATTTATTAGACATTTATACCATATTAGTTGACAAAGTTTTTTCATGAGTATATTTTTATAATTAATTTTTTAATAAACCTTAATGTTTATAATTAAGATTAAATATTTAAATAATATTTTTTAAAATATAATTATTATATTTAAACTTTTTTTTAATTTTTTAAAATAATATAACATTATATTTTTATTATTATTAAATATTATTAATATTTATTTTTATAAAGCTTAATTTAAACTTTTATAATTAATTCTGTTTATTAAAAATAATTTAAAAAATAATAATACTTTATAAAAATTTATATAAAATATTATATAATTAATAATTATTACTAAAATCTTTTTAAAATGTACTAATTTAATGCAATGGTGCATTACAATAAATTAGTTTTATTTTAAAAATTGAATTTATGAGTGTATTAAAAATTAGTTATATTTTAAAAATTAGATTTTGAACTAACTTAATGTGAAAGTAGATTTAAAATTAATTTAATGTAAAATATTAGATTTAAAATTAATTTCAATTAAAACCAAGTTTAAAACTATTTTAAAACTAAATTTAAAATTTAAAATAAGTTTTAAACTGATTTTAAAAAAATAATATAAATTAGTTTAAAATCTTTTTGTGTAATTAAATTTTAAACTAATTTTAAATTAGTTTTATGTAAATCCAATCTATGTACAGTTCTAGTTGTGAGAAAAATTCTATGCTTTAAAATCTAAATATATTTTTTGTGATTTTTTTATCATTTTCCTTATCATTTATAACCTTCCCATTTGAATATGGTGTAGCTATTGACTATTCTGGTGCATTTTTGCTTTGCTATTAAAAATAATGCTATTAACTTAGTGCAATGAAGCTCGTATTTCTAGTAAAAAAAAGCATAGAAAATTAATATTAATTTTTCTTTCATTTTAAGTTTTGAATAAAATAAATTTAATTCGATATCTAAGGATTCTTTTGATTAATAAAAATAAGCTCAAAGCAATCCCACAAGACCCATGATTCTTTAGTCTAATCAGATACTGATTTGTAAATAAATAGTTATTGAAATTTTGTGGTAGTTTTTAGAAATAGTGAATTGTAATCATATGTTGTAAATATCTTTTATTGTAGGGAAATTGGTACTATTTTGATCTTATCCTAATTATGATCAATTGTATATATTTAGTGTATCATTGCTTTCATCATATATCGAGAGAGAGAAATATTCCCTATCAGTGTTATATTCTATTCTTCCTTTGTCTTTTATTGTTTTATGGTATCAGAGCTTTGCTTGGCCTTCCCAAATGTCTTCTTCACCTCCCAATAGTCCAAAGAATACTCCAAAGAAAGATGATGATTCTGGTTCTAGTCCAAAGAATACTCATCAAGATCCAACTCTCAATCCTTCCAGTCCTTATTTTATACATCCCAGCGAAGGACCTACCTCTGTTGCTATTGTTCCAGTCCTTGATGAAACAAATTATCATTCCTGGTCCCGTGTCATTCGAATGGCTTTGATATCCAAGAACAAAATGGCTTTTCTGGTAAGCTCCATTCCAATTCCATTTGCAACCGATCCACTTCATTCCGCTTGAGAAAGATGTAATACATTGATTATGTCTTGGCTCTTAAACTCCATTTCTCCTTCCATTACTCAAAGTGTGATTTTCCTCGAGTATGCCACAGACATTTGGGATGATCTCTGTGAGCAATTTTCTCCAGGAGATCTTCTTCGTATAGCTGAACTCCAAGAAAAAATTTACGGGCTATCTCAAAAAAACTGTTATGTCTCTGATTTTTACATGGCTCTAAAGACTCTATGGGAATAGCTTGATAATTACCATCCATTTCCCTCTTGCTCTTGTGAGACTAAGAAGTATCACCAAAAGGATTTCATCATTAGATTTCTCAAAGGACTCGATGAACGATTCTCTGTAGTTCGTTCCCAAATCCTCCTCATGGATTTGCTTCCAGCCATCAATAGGGTATTCTCTATGATAGTGCAGCAAGAACGACAACTTCAAGCTGTACCTCCTCCTTTTGCAGAGCCCAACACCTTTGTCAACGCTGCTGCTCATCCTTACCCAAGGAAAGGTCGTGGCAGTGGTGGCTATTCGTTGAATAAATCTGGCTCCACTAAGCACTGTGCATACTGCCATCGTCCTGGACATATGATTGACGTTTGCTAGGGAAAACATAGCTACCCACCTGGCCATCCAAAATACCCTGGTCGTTCGCAATTCAATAGTCGTGATTCTTCTTTCATGAATAGCGTTGTCGCTGATGACGCGGTGGAAGGGGCCAGCAGTGGTGACCATGTCGTCTCCTCTCAAAACCCTATCACTCTTACTCAGGCTCAATATCAATCTCTCATGGCCTTGATCCAGCCGCAACAACAAATCAAAAACTCCTCAGATGCTATTGGGCCCAACTCAGTCAATCAGTCCAGCAGGGCCAATCTCAGTCAAATAAGCCCAAATCACCAAAAACGTCCTTCTAAGTCAAGTGGTAGCAAATTTGTTTTCTGCACCACACATCCACACACGACACAAAATAATTTTTTCACAATAAATTCACATTCAGTGCCCTGGATCATAGATTCAGGAGCAACTGACCATATTTCTTCATCTTTGCATTATTTTTCTAACTATTTAAAAATAAAACCCATTCAAATTAACTTATCCAATCAAACTATTGTCATGACCCATTTTTCTGGAAGTGTCCATTTTTCTCAAAACTTTGTGATTCATGATGTTCTTTTTGTCCCTGAATTCAGTTTCAATTTATTGTCCATATCTAAATTAATTACTTCCTTTAAATATATTCTAATATTTAATGATTTTGTTGCACTATACAGAACAGGAATACGCTGCAGATGATTGGTTTAGCTAGTCTAAAACAAGGCCTCTATCACCTGGAAATTAATCAACAAGTCAAAGCCCTCAACCCAACCATATCCTCAATCAATAACAGTACTGTCTACACCACCTCATCCTCAAAGCTTTGGCATTATAGATTAGGTCATCTTTCCGAGAATCGTCTCAATATGTTACACGAACAATTTTCTTTTATTCCTACACATATTAATGAAAATTGTGACATTTGTCATTTTGCTAAACAAAGAAAATTATCTTATTGTCCAAGTAATAGTAGAGCTTCTAAAGTTTTTGATTTAATTCACATGGATATTTGAGGGTCATTTTCAATACCTTTTATTCATAGTGAAAAATATTTTCTCATTATAGTGGATGATTATAGTAGATATACTTGGATAGTTTTGCTAAAATCAAAATCTGATGTTAAAATCTATGTCCAACATTTCATTGCCTTAGTGGAAAATTAATTTGATTCAAAAATAAAATGTGTGCATTCTGACAATGGTCCTGAATTTTTTTTTAAAGATTTGTTTTCTTCGAAGGGGATCATCCATCAAACAAGTTGTATTTATACCCCTTAACAAAATGGACGAGTTGAACGTAAACACCAACATATTTTTAACGTTGCTCATGCCCTTATGTTCCAATCTCAAATTCCTCAAAAATACTGGTCTTTCGCTATAAAACACTCGGTTTATCTTATCAATCATGTCCCATCTCTAGTCATTAATAAACAAACACCTTATAAGCTTCTTCACAAGCACAAACCCGATTTTTCAATGCTCAAAGTGTTTGGTTCTTTGTGTTTTGCATCCACATATGGGTCACGACAAAAATTTGATCCTAGATCAAAACAGGGTGTTTTTCTTAAATTTCAAACAGGAACAAAAGGTTACATAATTTTAGATTTTGATATAAAAGAAATATTCATATCTAGAAATATAATGTTTTATGAGACAATTTTTCCTTTTGTTCAGATTAAGAATAATTTCAATAATACATAAGAGTCATTTTCTCTAATGCCAAAGAGCCCTCAAGTAACCGAAGATGGCCCAATAATTGAGCCCAATCAGGAATTTCCTACATTTTACACCACCCAATACTCCTCCACAAACGACACAATCACCAGAAACCCTAACACCAACATCATCTTCTTCATCCTCACCATCACAAACGCATGAGTCCACCGTTGATTCTCCTTCTCTCTCACCACAATCTCAATCTCCCATTATTCAACCACCTGTTACCATTCGTCATTCCACTCGTCCATGCAAACCCAATGTGCGTCTTGCAGATTATATATGCTCTGTTGAGACTCAATCAAACCAATTATCATCAGCGTGTCTCTATCCTATTCAATCTGCCTTGTCCAATATATCTGAGTCTACGCATCACTACATCATGAATCTGTCTTCTGAGATGGAGCCCCGTAGTTATCAAGAGGCAATCTTGC